GACGTCGAAGATGGACTTGGGGAGGCGGAAGGGAAGGTCCAAGCCGGCAGAGACCCCTGAGATCACCTGTTTAGACGTGCGCTTTAGCGGCCTGGCGCCCCAATAATGGTCTAGTTAGTAAATTGTGCAGGACGAGGGGTAGAACAATGCGCCAATTAGATGGCCTTGTTCTGAGCGAGTCGATCCTCTTTCGTTGAGTTCATGTGGTCTTGGCGTGTTTGTACCGACTTGAGGACTACATATCTCACCGAAATACCGAATCACTTTGAGACAGTTTGGCTTTGAAGTGGTGATAGTTTGTGTTCGAATTCTGTTCCCTTGTACGAAGATTATGGTAGTCATTCGTCAGCCATGACCATCAATACCCCTCCTCTTTCAAAGACCTCGAGCATTGTCATTCTGGGCGCGTGAGTCCAACATAACTATGCCGAACCTGGGCACTACTGATTGGACCTTGTCAGCGGCACATTTGGCACCAGCACCGCATATCATCTTGCCAAGCGTGGCTACACTAATATTAGGTGTCTCGATCGTCATCCCATACCAAGTCTCGATTCTGCAGGGTATGATCTGAACAAGATCATCAGAACCGAATATGATGAGCCGCTGTACACGGAACTGGCGCTCGAGGCGCTCAATGCTTGGAGAGGCTCAGAATGGAAAGGAATTTTTCATGAGACGGTTGGTCGATGTTTCCCACAACCATCGTCGCATGTTCCAGCTGATCATCACCTCATAGGGACGCATCGTGACAACTCTAGGGGACCCACTAGCAGAGAAACACCTCAAAGAGTCGTATGAAAATCTCAAGAAGGCTGGACAGGCTGGCGACCTCGAGTTGGTGGCGGGTAAAGAGCAGATTGCCAAGCATGTTCCGCAACTCTGCGATGCAGACGGCATCGAAAATTGGAAGGGCCTTTGGAACAGCCAAGGCGGGTGGGCCCATGCCAAAAACTCTTTAGAGAAATGGGGCAAAGCAGCACAGGATATGGGTGTTGAGTTCATATCAGGATCTAATGGCACGATGACTGGGCTAAGCCTCGATAGTTCAGGCAAGCTTGATGGGATCAAGGTTGCGTCCGGCGATGTTGTCCGTGGGGACAGGTATATCCTTTGTACTGGAGCTGCATCTCCTGATGTTCTACCCGAGTTGTCACGGAAGATGTGGACAAAGTGCTGGTCTTTGGCTCACATCGAGCTGAACGATGAGGAGGTTGCCCAGTGGAAGGGGATTCCCGTCGTGGACAACTTTGAGCTGGGGTTCACATTCGAACCAGATCCAGAAACCAGTAGGTTTTCACGATAATCAGAGACTAAGATCTGTCCACTGACAATACTCACAGAGTGGATGAAGATCTGTGACGGATCCCCAGGTTACCAGTACCGAGTGGGCACGTACACTGATCCCTCGGGTAAGGTGGAACGGTACTCAATTCCTCGATACGCGAGCGCACACCCCGACGACGGAATCCCCGACGAAGCAGCTACAGCAATCAATAAGTTTATTGATACAGTCATGCCGCAGTTTTCTGGTCGACCGCTGCTAGGTGCGCGAGTCTGCTGGTGCACCGATTCTCCTGACTCCCACTGGCTCATCGACAACCACCCAAAACATCCTTCTCTACTCCTGGCGACTGGAGACTCTGGTCATGCTTTCAAGATGTTTCCAATCATCGGCGACTACATTGCCGATGCTTTGGAGGGGAAAGAGAGGGGGCTAAGGATGGAATGGAAGTATGGCAATAGAAAGTCAAAGCCTGTCGCTACCAGGCCTGGCACGGAGGTGAAAGACCTCAGAGATATTATGCACCTGGAAGCTACATGATGGGCAAGTAGAAATTGTACCGTGAAATCGGTAGACTTGGAACTTGAAAACAACTTGTAGTCTATGTTGCAAAGATAAACATTGAACAATTCTTAAGTACCCTCAATAAATGATGGAACACCATGGATACATCATCCTATGGGGCTGCGATGATCCGGCCATGGTACCTCATACTCGACTCGCGTCTCTGTTGTGACCCTGATACCGCTCATGCTCGCCACTCTCTGTTGCGGACCCCCTTTTGAGTCATATCCCACCACCGGCTGTATCTCATCGACAATGGTTGGGCGACCATCATCTGAATGCCTTGGGTTCGACTCGATGATGGTCTCGCGGTAACTTTTGCTTTCTTTCCGGAGGGCATTTCCGGACCAAAGCTTCGCAACATCCTCTCTTGACCCATCCTTCGGCATGTCACTCGAAGATAGCGACAAATCATCACGCGAATGCAGCTCGTAAGCCTCTGACTGAACGTTGCGCCTCTTTTTGTTGGCCTCGATTGTGGTAGAATAGGGATTCGAGTGTTGGTAGTTTTGATAATCAGGTGTTGTCTTCTTCGTCTTGGGGCCGCGTGCGGTAATGTGGGAAGTGACAAACATGGGTAGATAGCGCACGAAGAAGGGCTTGAGTGCCGGGACGGAGGCGCACATAATTCCAGCGTTGACTTCGATGGATGCCCAGTTCAACTGTCTGTCAATGTCGAAAGTGTAATCTATACTTTTGAACAGCGGCGGTAGGAGGATTGTACGTCTGATTGCACATATGCAGACACTGCCGAGAGATCAGCATGCGATTGTTTACCTTCGTGTGGGACATCACTAACAAGCCCCCTGTTGCAAATAGCAGAATCAGCGACAGCTTTTGTCGAGCTGCCATCTGCAAAGGGATGATGATCTTCAGAGGTAGAACAAGGCACACGACATCCATGATGATGTTGGTAGCGCTGAGCACCAAGTAAACTGTGTTTTTGTCGATGCATACCGATCCTTCTCTAGCCGAAAGATCCCATGAAGCCTGGATTGGCCTGCAGCTGAGGACGATGAGTAAGAGGTATGCCAGCGCGTACGAAGAGGCGAAGCCAATGAGGGTCATTGTAATAAGTCTGAACCACCTTTCGGGCGATAGACGCAAGTACAAAACGAGGAGTGACAACTTTGCAGTAGTTACACTTAATGAGTAGACGGCTATCGCAATGATGCTATGCTAGATCATTCTGTTAGTCGAATGCGTCCATGTAAGGGATAATTGTTGAGATTTATCTGACAACCTCAAGAGAGTATTGCAACTTACAAGCAGGAATGAAGGCGAAAAGTCAGCTTGTTCAACTTGCCAAATATGAGTACCCACGCCGAGCTCGCACACTTCTGGAATTAGATGCACCCTCTATAATGTAGTAAATGGCCGGAATATTCTCACATTTGACGGATAGTCCATAGAAGATTATGGCTAAAGCTAACGAGATGCCGATGAGATCTGACTCGTTAAAACAAAGTTCACACACATTTGTAGGGAGAATACTCACAGTCATCGGAACCAAGGCCTCGTCTCACTAGGGATAGCCTTGTAAAGGCTCGCAGACCGACAAATATGATGGATAGCGAAGTCAGTGTTCCACCCAATGCCAGCGCCCCGGTCGTAATAGTGCCCGCATCGAATCGTCCTTGACCATCTGGCGGCTCGGCCATGTACCTGGACTCGGAAGATGCCATCAACACACCCAAGGACGATCCAAGCCTTTAGAGTCGATGACAAGGAGGTCACTGGTGGAAAAGGAAAAGAGAGGTCAAGAACAGTAAAGAAGCACACGCCAACCGCATGACCAAAGCTCAGTTTCCGGGAATTTGGATTGTTTTATTCCTGTCGAATGGTATGCTGGGGTCTTGGCCATCCCTTGGAAACCTGTGTCACTCCGCCGGGCGGCATGGCGCAGGCAAATGGGGAGGCTCCGTGCTGACATCAAATTGACAAGCAAACTTGATTGCTTTCCCAGAGTGTGGACTACCAGCAGAAGTCCTTCTTTTTCACAGGGAATACTTTACGAGCTTTGAGTGGACAATCTGCTAAGCGGAGTCCATGCGATCTTGAGCGTACCCGCGCAACCGGCCGTTTGTGATAAATCGGGGAAGAAAATAAGCAAAATGTTGTCTGAGATTCGAACCCCAACCTAGGTTTGCCCCTCCTGAAGACCTGACATGAGAAGTGACATTTGACAGGTGTCAGTGCTTTACCGTCTCTCAAGACCCCCCTCTCGGTATTAGGGACTTGAGATCGAGGACTGTGACACTCCAGTTTCAATCTAGACTCAACAAACATTTGGGTTTGGCCTCTCACCCTCTCTGAGTGGCCCGCGGTTGACTTCGCAAGAATTGGGGATTTCCTCGCCCCCTTACTGCCCTAGCCATCGTCCGTGGGCAGTCATTCTCCCCCTTACGACACCAACCTCGTCTCCCTTGTTCAGAATCCACAGTTCTCAGGATGACCAAACCAACAAAAAGACTTAGGGGCGTAAGGGTTGGATGTTCGAAAAAGAAATAATACTCAGCATTTGAAGGCTCTGTCAGTAGCCGGCTTGACTTATATGGGGCTCTAGACTCTACGACCCACTTCTGCAACCCCTGTAAGGGTTGGGGCATGCAGTTATCGACTGATATCGTTCGGCTGCTCATAGCAGAAGAACTCTTCCTTGAATTCGCCGAGAAAGATAACCATAAGTTCCCATGTATCTATTTAAACTATGAGGCATCTTCAAGAAAGATTATACGTGATATTCTGAAACCGTCATTGATGTTTATGTGGTTGACTCCCTCGCACTAATTTCATAGCCAGTTCAAGTAACTCAGCCAACATGATATTGGAATTGAAATCTAGCAAACATCTCCCCACTGTAATCCTCAACCCTGGATCTCCCATTGCTAATCAAACGAGATTATGATTTGAGAGACAACTCCGTGTTCACTGCCAACAATCTGAGCCATCAGCCTTCAGAGTACACGTACTACAAGTGCAACTCGGCGTTGCCTCAATCCTTAAATGCAGGCTTACAGCGCATCAAACACCGGGTGATCGGGTGTTCTTGTCTGCTAGTCTCCTATTCAACCCCCGCAGCATGTCTGCGCCGCTGTGGGGGGTTGATTTTTGCGTTCCTAACTTGCTTCAAGTCGTTGATTGGCGGCACCGACTCATCAGGCGAACCGCGAAAAGTTGGTAGCTGGTTCCCTTGACTCGCCATATCTGACGAGCATTCTATCCGCTCTGAGGATTGTCAAGATTCCCTGCATGACACACTTGAGTGGATAATGCTATTTGCGTATGTTTCCATGACTAATCTATGCAAGGCCAATAAGATCATTCGAGTGGCTTTCATTCCCAAGGCTTTTGGCGTGTTAATCCCCATGTCTTCATCCGGTAATGTGTTGTCTCGCTCTCTCGTCATCGGAAGGTGAATATGAAATCACGCGATAATGCTTCCATATGATGTTAGACGCCGTGATAACGCACGGCGTTCAATTGCTGTGAAGGTGGAGAAGCAACAACTCCTCATGGAAACTGTACTGTTTTGGTGGGTGATGATAGATGCATGGACAGTGGGTTTAATGTGTTGATGCTTTCCCTGGCCTGTTGGCTTGAAATGTATCCTTCCGGATCTCCATCTATGCTCCCCGCAATAGTGGATCTGTATGTAACCTGCGCTACCGATGGGCTTATCGTGCTGGTGGGCGATTGTGGAGGCGCACTCGGTGTCTGACGTCTTTGTCCGGCCGATTCATTGGTTGCTCTTGAAAGAGGTCTTCGCGACCCTTGGCTGCCATACCTCGAAGTTCCCGAGCATGCTAATAGGGGGCGCATAATCGGCACACATGCGCAGATGACCGCAGACGTTGGCTCAGCCATGCTTAGGAGAACTAGCGGTACGGCTTGGTAAAACCCATCGATGCCGCTGGTAGCGAGAGGCAGGCTAACGATTCTCAGCACCGAAATCGCACTGGTGCTGTTGTTTGGTCAGAAATGCGGTCTGTGAGCACGTAAATCATACTACTCACAAAATGCCCACCCCAAAACTGGAGATGAGACCGGCTTTTTGCATCGTCGCAAGACGCATCTGTCCTACAAGTGCCAGCGGTAGTATGAAGATGACGATATCTGTCGAGAGATGTACGGCGGCGTTGACGTAACCAAATATGAGGTATGCCTTGTCCCCGGGCGTAGGAACATACCCCGGCTTCAGGAAATTCTTCATGACGATCCCGCCGAAGATAAGCAAGCCGACCAGTGCTAAAAGCATAATACCTAGGAAAATGTCGCAGAACAAAACTATGTGAGGTAGAGCGAATGCTCGGCGGAACTGAAGTAGAAACGTTGCTTTGATGAAACCGAAAGATAACTGGTACATGAAGACTGTTGCAACCAAGTACTGAGAACGACGTCAGCCAAACATAGACTCGCAGGCTTGGTGCCGTTTTGAGATCAAGTGCTCAAGTGCCCTGGTGACTTACACGAGGATTTTGTTGTACTTGATCAAATGTTGATCTCCAGAGGTGCAGTCCAAGACTACCGTATACTGTATCTGATGGATAAAATCAGAATCTGAACATTTCTGGCTGAAAGATAGCGCAAGTTCAGCAGAGTTATGACTTACTGCATAGTACCATGGCACCCTGTACAATCACGAGCATCTTGTATGATAGTGTTAGCTATCATTTGTGGCTCTCAACAGTCTGGTGGAGCAACTTTGAACTCACCGAAGACCACATGAATATGGAGTCGTCGAGTCCCCATCCTCTCAAGAGGTAACCCCTGATGTAAACCCGAATTGCCATAAAAATGGCAACCAATGCGATGAACATTGATATAATACCGACAACTAACGGCTGCCTTGTTTCACTTGGCAAGGATGCTCCTGGCCCAACCCCCTCTGACGGTATAGTTGCGTTGCTCATGCTGAAGCCCGTGGCCGAGACAAAACCCAGCAAAACAAGAGACTAGTGAGCCGTAATGATCTGCAGTTGGGTCGATATAGATTGTGGAAACGGAGTCGTTTCTCTTTCATGAATTCAGCGACATTCCAGAAAGACCCCTGCGTCGTGGAGTTGTCATGCTCACGCCCGTGTGCTTGCGTGTTGTCGAAACATGGGAACCATGAATCAAAAAGCAAGATGAAAGAGGAGATCAGGGGCACTTTCCTCAAATCGAACCACCCAACTTGAGGACTGGTGCGGTTGAGTCGCCGCTATGTGTCGGGCTGGCCGCATTTGGTGCCGGATTTGTCTTGGACTGATGTGGCCGACGCGAACTGCCGCATATCTGCAATCCTAACCCGCATGCGGCTTCGGGGACGCCATCCGTACGCCGTCAATCGAAGCAATCACTGACTATTTGGATTCTCTTCGCTCCATTCCTCACCAGTACCCGAAGACTGTGAAATGGCATGCGACGCTTCTTTGTTACTGATCAAAGGTCTTGCTTAGTGCACCACGTTTCATTCGGCTCTACATGCGGACCAGTATCTTAACCTTGAAGGCCAATTGTCATGGCCTGAGCTTGTCTTTTGATGAGGTCAACTCCATCATGATATGGACTGGTAGACTAGTACCACCACTGCCGAGCCACATCGTCTTTTTCCGCGGCTTGTAGTAAGTCTCGGCAAAGTGGCAACGAAAATCTAAGTGATGGTTTAAGTATTGGCACGTATTTCGAAAGTTGCTCTTATGTTGCCCAGTTATCAAGTAAAGTCTCAGTATATTACGTTCTTGTTGTCTCAACTATATAAGACATGCGTCTAATGCTTTGCGAATCATCGCCCATGCTGGATGGCACCTTTTAGTATACCATAGAATGCTAACCCCTTACGCCGTGCTCTAAGAATAATGCATCATCTTTCTGAATAACCGTACAAACTTTATAAAGTAGGCTTGAATCTGCCTCTGATCCGCTCGCCGAATATGTAAAAGACGAGAGGGATAGGAATGAGAGCGACCGAGATGAACGCCAGCAAACTGTTACCCCATCCGAGTCCGAGGGCGTTGTACATCTCCAACCCTCCAAGAGGAAGGAGGGCGCCGGCCAAGGATCGAAGAACAGCTAGCGCAGCAGTGACGGAAGCTGCATATCGGGGATATGTGTCGAGGAGGTAGTTCTGAATGCACATCTGTTTCACATGTTAGCGGACGCTCTATTGTTCGATACTGTATGCATTGGCAACTTACCATGACACCCATGAGTCCGGTAGCGAAGATGACAACTCCAAGCATGGGAACGATGAAATGAACCCCCTTCTCAGTTGTCCATCCGTAGATGAAGAGACCGATGGGAAGAACCACACCGCAAGGCATTGTCAGAACCGGGGTAAGACGGGCCTCGGGTCTGTGAACGAGCCCTTTCTTCTTGTTTCTGATGACGATGAAATCGGTGAGCGCGCCAAAGGTTCCGACACCAATCATCATACCAATGCCGGCGGGAAGGAAAGTGAGCCCGATGGTTCCCTCGTCGAAGCCGTATTGATCTCTGTAGACGAAGGAGAAGGTCGTGATGAGAAGGTAGAGGATACCGTATGTGATGGCAACGTAAAGAGCCATAAGAGTGACGATCGGCGTGACGAAGAGGAGCTTGACAGGTCGGACGATGGCGTGCTGGAACTTTTGCTTCGTGGTTTGGCCATCATCAAGCTTGCTTCTGAGGTTCGTGTTGCCGGTTTCCTTGCGGAGCCTGGCTACTTTGCGTTCTAGAATGAGAGGAGCGAAGGTCTCCTTCATCATGAACCAAGAGAGAGGAATGAAGATACCACCCTACAGCTTGGTCAGACTCCGTGCACTGCTTAGCTTTCAAGTTTCTTGGAGGAGTACATACCACAATAGTCACAAGCCAGTACACCCATCTCCATCCAGCAGCCTTGATCAAGTAGCCTCCGGCAACGGGACCAATGCAAGGGCCAAGAAGGGGTCCTAAAGCCCAAGCAGACATGGCACGACCTCTCTGCTCTATTGGCATAATATCCGCAATACTGCCACTTCCAATAGTGACTGGCACTGCACCAGCCAAACCCATGAGGAAACGGAATGCCATCATCATAGCCATGTTCTGTGAGAGAGCAGTACCGACGGTGAAGATGGTGAAGAGAATGTTGCCGTAGATATAAAGCCGCGCGCGACCAAAGACCTCGCTCATAGGAGCGATAATGAGAGGGCCAAAGGCAAAGCCGAGGACGTAAACTGAGACGACAAACGTTGCTACCGTAGCAGAGGTTTCGTGGAATTCAACCATGATTTTGGGTATACCAGGGGCGAACATCGAGGATCCCTGCGAAGAATGTCAGTAATCAGCCAGCTTAGAAATGCGTTTCCAGAACAGCTTACAAGTGGTCTGTTGAGGTTAACTAATGGGCTTTGTCTTTCGGGTTTGGATTGGAAAAAATGACTTACGTGACAAAGGTTAACATCGAAATGGTAGCAATATTGAACCACTTCTTCTTCATGGGCCAGTTTTGAGGGTTTTCAGGATCGTCGGGTCCATCCCAATCGACGACGTTCGGGTCTTGGTGTGCCTCCTTTGCGGCATCTTGTGCGTTTTCTTCCGGCTCCTGGCGAGACTCGGGTCTGATGGTCGCGCCTTCGAGATCCGAGGCGTTGGGGCTGATTCCTTTCTCAACATCCACGTCTCTTGGGGCAGAGTCCGGGGACTTGAGATCCGCCATGGCGTGCTTTGATCTGGAGGTGCTGGGCCTGTTTGTTGGTATCGCGTCTAAACCGATCGTGTAAGTCGTTTGCAGTCTATAGGTTTCCGGGAGAACAGTCCAGCGGAGTCGTTATTTGTATGTATAAACAAGAAATTCTTGGCTTGAGCCTCAAGACTAAAGCTGAAAAATCAACGGGAAGACGGTTACATTATATTCGTTGCGGGAGACCTAGAATCGCATAGCAACCCCGGGCTTTCGAGAAGGGGTTCAGCTCCAATTGCACAAAATTGTGCAATGGCTGGACCATGCGCCGCACTAGTTCGTTGGTTTCCCCATCAGCACACCATGAATTAAGAATCCGAAAGCGAGATACCCTGACAATGCGATCGCGAGCCTCCCAGCGATTGGATGACATTGATGGGCGCAGGGATCATACCCCCTTAACATTAGACGGCCTGGAACCATTTGATGAAAAGAGGCGGCACTGACATGGCAGGACACGGGGCGTTGCGTACTGATGGTTCGTTCTGGCGCAGAATTTTCCTCGCTTTCTCGTTCCAACTGTGGCTTACCAACGTGTCGGTGTCATTCCAGCCTGATTGCTGTCAGGAGACCGAGCGCTTCTGTCAAAATATTAGACGATCAACCTTGAGTTCCTGGGAACTGCCTAGACTACCGGTGATTATTCTACTCCCTAAATCCGCGAGGACGGTAGCCTCAACATTTGAGTCCCTATGTCCGTATCGGCAAGGAGCGCAGAGATACTGAGATAGACATCGGCGACATGGATTCTCGTGCCCAGCCAGTAGAGCCACGTGTATGACGGATCACAACTTCAGTATGGAACACAAGCTAACAAGTGCTTAAACGCCCATAATGCCTAAAAATGGGACAGCCGCACGACCACGTCGAGTTCTCTCCTTATTAGGCTGTTGTGGCACATGGAAAGCGCCTTCAGTCTTTGACCTTATTCGAAATAGTATGTATGTTTTCCCCAAAGAACCCACGCTGTTTGTCTTCTTAGTCTGCGGAATAGGTCATTCGGGCCCGGTGTTGCATAAGTCAGCCGGAGCATGCATAACTCCCGCCGGAAGGTGGCGCTCCCGTCAGCCAGGCCCCTGCGGGGAAATCAACACTTTAAAATTGGCATTCCCATCCCCATCCCCATCCCCGACGTAAGATGCGGATTCTGCCGCCGCGCGGGCTTTTACAATAGCCCGTCCTTCGAATCCCGTTCTCTGTCCAAGGCAGAAGCTGCAAATCGGCAACGAATGGGATTGAAGGGTTTGTACCTTATCTGTATGTTATATGACCCCAGCTGTCGGAATTGGGGTTACAATCCGGCCAAGCTTCGATCCTGTGCCAACTTGCAAGGAGGCAGGCACCTTACTGAGTAGTAATACAGAGGCTCAACCTGAATACGCGGACTGCCAATGTTATACGAGGGAGGGGCCCTGAAACCAGTTAACCATACTTTTGAATCCAGGTTCGCTACAAAGATCTGAGTTAGCGGCCTAGTACAGCACTCCGTCTGGCGTATTTACGTCTAAACCTCTCTCTTAAATCCGTACCACCAACTTGAAAGATCTACCGAAATGCTGCAAGCAACCGAAGTGCGTTTTATAAGTGTTCTGCTTCCAGGGTGATGAAACTCAGTCGACTGTTGAACCACAGTCTATCGTACAATATTACATAATTACATTCGGATTCGAGGCCAAACCCCGAATTTGCTGTGACCCAAGTTGAATGCGACAGCCGTAACCTTCGGTGCGGAGCTGGAAGAAGACGGCTTCCTCCGCCCGCTTCTCTTAGCGGCGTCAAAGAAGTTTTTAAGGCGGGCCCTAATATCAGGCTGTCCAAGGAGAATGGCGATCCTCGATTGGGCGTAGATCCTCCCGGTATCAAGCATAAATAAGCAAACTTTATGGATATCCCAGCGTCGCTTTCGTATAGCTGAATGGCCCAGTCAGTGGTCACAGATTACTTGTTGCGACTTCGTAGTTCGCATTCACCCATTACTAAAAGTGGCCCCTAGTTGTCAAATATGTCAAATACAGTCAAGAACTTGATATTTATCACATGCAATCATTTCTTTCTCAATTTCCATCACCTGTCCCCCGTCAACAACGGGCTACTCCTTGGTACGCCCAGTCCCGCGCCCTTACCTAAGACGGACTCCTCCTTTTCACACCCAACCGTCTCAGAACTCGATCCTCAAGAGTCTATGGTTCTATCACAATGAATATGTGACTTCCACGCCATGACCACAGATGTTCAACGACGGAGCTAAATGAGGTTATGATGTTGTAATTGATGTTTTGATATGAATCTTGGGGTCGAATAGCCATTTCATCTCTCTAGGATCTCCACGCCTGCTTGATCACATTCTCCCTCCTAGCTCATATCTCCTACGGTCGTAACGCGCGTATCGCCACATGTATCCTCTTGACCCTTGGATTGCTGGTTGCCTGCGTCGCCTTGATCGTCCCTTCTGCTAATTCTCTGGCGCCGCTTGCATTGAGATATTACCATGTCGCACTGTTTAGTACCATGCGCGAGTGAGTGTGTCACCCCAGGCGATGGCGATCGTTCTGTTCGGGTTATTGTCACTGGCCACTTCTGTTGCCGCATCAGACTCTCCTGGGGATGCTTCATGAACGATGTGGCCCATGCAAACGAGCAGCGACACTGCTAGTGCATCACTGATGCCAGCCAATCTGTTTCTCATCCATAGCAGCTAGTATCTACGGCTGAGTTAGCGTTCATCTGGGTGCTTTTCGGTCTTATTCGTTCTTACCACGGAATATGTTCTCTCAAGGCAATATTGTCCCAGGACCTCGGAAGCGCTCTAGCCTCTAGTAAATGAGTTTCCTTTGCTGGCAGGTGTTTCTGAAGTTTTGGACCAGGCTGAAAATGTCGACGAATGAAGAGTAGGGCTTCGGATGGTTAACCGACTCACCGGAACAGATGACTGGGGTGGGGGGGGGGGGGACCTTGATGTAGTATCAAAGGTCATACGATTAATAATCTCGCCGCACAAGAGTAACATTCGTAGATTGTGAAGGTATATTGATGAATATGAGTATATTTGATCTTCTCAAACTTAGGAGCAGAGTCGTAATGTCTGCTGCTTCCCAAGATGCGATCAATGAGCACAGGTTGGTTAAGTGAGGTCATTGATGAGTTTACACGGAAGATTGGAAAGGTGACGAAAGTAAGTCTGAAAGCATGATTGTGAACTAGTCGAAAACTTTTATGACCTGAGTCAATCAAAGGAATTTTATTCGATGATAATCAAATACCTGAAGGATGAGTTGAAAGAGCAGGTTCAGTTTTATTCAAAAGTGAAGTCGATCGTGAATGCTGATAGAGGGAAATGCGGATGCATGGCGGAGGGGTAGGATCGGCCTGTCAGGCCGGGCCGGGGTGATCCCTAGCTGTCGCCCAAAGCTACGTAATGACTTGCATTAGCGAATCTTCAGTGGGCATGCCCGCCACGCCACGGCCCTGTCAGTGATCTCGTGCCATCCCTCCACTGGCGGCAGAATCTCATAGAGACATCACCACTTGACGTCCGCGATCTGAACTCCCACACCGCGTCGGCGCGAAACGATGAACGCGTCCACATGTCCCCCAACACGCCCGAAAAGTCGACGAGGCTAGCCGAGGTAGCATTTGCCAATGACGCCGAGCCATTCGTCCCGAAACCCTTGATCAACGACCTGCTGCGCACCCGCTACTGCATCCCCGGTTCCATCTTCCTCGTTGAAGACGTCGAGTCGCTCCCGGTGCCACGGTCGAAGCGATGGAGGGCCATACGACTAATGCTGGGGGACGGTGAGCTCTGTATACAGGCTCTCCTCCGGGGAGAGATGCATCGTTTTCTGGACACCGGAGCTGTCCGCGTCGGCTGCTACGTCCGCTTGGGGGAATTTTCGATTCGTCTGCAGGATCTCGCTGGGTATGACGATCGCTCTGGTGGGACACGGCAGATGGTACACTTGGTGGTCCATGACCTAGTCACCGTTGGATGGCATAGAACTCTCACGGAACCCGATGTAACGTCTCCGGAACATGAAGTTGAGGACGAGGTCGTCTCCGACAGCGATGTGGAATCCGTCGCAACTCCGACAAAGGCACGACAATCAAGGCCGATCTCGATACCCGCATCGACCCAGCGCCCGATACCGCAACGCACGCGTTCGATCGGGGCAACCGAGGCAACCGCGGAGGCTGATGATGAAGACGAAGATGGTTTCGAGGTTATGCACGTGTCGGAGACAAAGGCAACTCAACGAAGGGTGCAGGCCAAGAATAAGGGAGGTCCTGTGGCTTTGCCGCGCGACTGGACAGATCCGAACACGCCTCTAAAGCTGACCTCTTTACGATCCATTCCGAACTTGCCCTACAAACAGAATTGGTCTGTCAACGTTCTCGCAGTCGTCGCCTCACTATCCGAAATCGAGCCGTCCCACATGCCGCCGCATCATACACAACGAACTGCTCGACTAGTTGACCCGAGCACTAGCAAGCAAGTCATCTTGACCGTTTTCCTCGACGCCGAGGCCTTCACCCCCAAAATTGGGAGCGTCATACTCCTTGTCGGTGTCAAGAACCACCGATTTGATGGTGGCTGCCTCAAGAAGTATGCTAGCGACAAGCCCAAACCCGGTAGCAGGTGGTGGTTCGAGGAGCCGAGACAGTTTGACTGGTGTGACGTGGACGGGCTGAAGCAGTGGTGGGAGCAGTCGGGCTTACAAGGAGTCGCATTCGACGGCTCATGACTCGGGAGGAACACGCTCGATCCATACACATGATTCCGACTGACACGTACATGAACGTCAAGAATATCAAAGTCTTGGTACCAGTTTCAGACGCTACTCTGTATGACCTGGACTGGCTACTGACTTGGGCTATAGATGAGCCCGACGTATCTCCTGCATGAGGATGGGGGTATGCCAACATATATGGTGGCAGCTTCATGAAGAATGCGGGAATCGCTTGTCTATCGCTCGCCGAAAGGTCTCTCTTGCCGTCTATTCCACACCCCAGGCACCGAGAACGTTTCGTCCACCTCCGTTCATGCCCTTGCCGCTGAGCGTCTCAAGCCGCTTTACCCGATTCACAAGCAGGCCAACGCAAATCGGTCCTACGATTGTGCACAAAGTGATGGCCCACGTCACGATCAAGAACATCTCCGAAGGTTGATCAGGTGCGCCTGATCCTCCGCTGAAGATGCCGGTGCTTTCGGCTAGTGCAGAAATCAAGTAGCCAATTTCACCACGAGCGACCATTGCGGAGGCGAGGATGCAAGCCGGATACACAGAAACGGGCATCTCCGGCTTGGGGGAAGCATTTTTTGGAGTTTTTCCGAGTTGTCGCGAGTCGAGCGGTTGAGGCGGCACCTCTTCCGTTTGACCATCTTGCGCACCCTGCCGCGGTTCCTGGTCCTGTTGCGGCTGCTTTGGAGGAGAAGGCTGGTTGTTGTTTGCTCCCGAATCTGTTGCTGTCCCGGCACATTGTGTTCCGGGTGCGAGTTTCTTCGCCTTCTGCTTCCCTAAATCAGATACCTTGTTGGTGATCCGCTGCACGGACTGCAACGGACTGGCAAAAGATAGCAGCCAAACACCACACATTAGTTTGCCACCCATCATCAGAATAGTGTAGACTATTCCACGCCAAACAATGGGACCGGAAAACATCCTCGTTATCGGTACGGAGAAGCCGATGGATGCCTGTGAGGGTTAGCATCTGACATCAATACAAGGATATTTACCATGGGGACTTACGAAGAAGAAAGGCTTCAGCACGTGGTCAACGGCCTTGCTGTAGTAACGTTCGTAAATCTCAATGCCTGTGTTGTAGGTATCCAATTCGCCATTGCTTGGCATTGGACCAGCAGCAGGTGGGTTCTCGGAACTCGATTGCCCTGGATTGTTTACAGGAATAGCTTCTTGGTTGTCTGAAGCAGATGCAAGTTGGACCGTGGGTGCTTTCTGCTTGCCCTTTTCGCGAGACATGAGATGAGGCACCTCGCTGTCCCACCAACTGATGGTGGCGCCCACGACATATGCCGCAAGCAAGGTCGATGTCCCAGCGAAGGCTCCTCCCATAATGAGCCCGAACAACCAACACGTATGGATGATGAGGGCAGTCTGACGCATACGAAGAAGCTGATCAATCCTTGACCCAGGGTTCTTCTCTCTTATCGTGTTCAGGCGCAATGTGATCGGCCCCACGACGAGCTTACACACCGCCGGTACAACGGTCGCGAAACCCAACGAGACGAGAATCGGTCGGACCACCGTCACGGCGTTGAAGTCGCTGCCGCCGCCACCACCGAGGTTGGACACGACCTGGACCATGATGAGGCCGACAACGTCATCCATCATGGCAGCGCTAGTCAACACGACTCCCATGCGGGTGGTCGTGAGGCCGCTCGTGCCTAGAACCGTAAAGGTTGTCCCTAGACTGGTCGAGCAGAGGGCTGCTCCCGCGGCGAAGGCTTGCAGCGGTGTGGCGCCGATCAAAGAGCTCAGGGTGAAGGAGAGGCCCATGGGGACGGCGATGCCAGTGACGGCGACTCCAATTGAGAGTAGAAGATTGGCCTTGAGGGATTTGAAGGAGGTGGAGAGACCTCCTGTGGACCAAGAATTAGTACCGCAGTGCTCAATTGGGTATTGCAATAGATGGACCTTACCTTCGTAGACAATCAAGATCAGGCCGAGATATCCCAGTTGCACCATCGAGTGCTCCAATTCTTCGGAAAGCCATTTTGCTCCTGGTGTTCCCCATGCGATACCGAGGAATACCTGACCAATGAGGCCACAGTAGACGAGCTTGTCGAGGCCATAATTTACGATATTGAGCAGCAGGAGGAAGCCGGAAAGGATGGCGATGGTGGTGATGGATGGCTCATGATAGGCCAGTGAGGATGTTGTTGCTGTCATAGCTCTGCGTGGTTTGATCAGGAGTATCTTGAGAGTAAGAGAGACGTTGAGACTTGGGCAACAGCCATTTCACGTATGGCAGCTGGATATCGTCTTCCTTTATTAATTGACCGCTCAATATCAGCTCGGGATTATTGTTGAAGACAATTGCAGTTTGAAAATTGACGCAGATCTTGGCGATGTTTACTGGGGTCTCCCCTTTGCTGACTCATGAGCAACTCTCGGCGCATGACGTCACATGATCCCAAGAAAGCACACGAGCGCCGTCTATTGCTAATGTTTCTTCGTACTTCAGGTTGTCACCCAAAGTTGCAACGGAAACTTTATTGGTGGACTGTTTTCAATGTTCGAATAGACTGTTCCAGCCAGGTATATTATAAAAATGAGCAACAACGCAAAAACACATCTCGCACCTGAAATATGCCAATGTCCTAAAACTCCAAGGCTAGACCCGCTGCCAGCTGCCAAAGTCTCGTGTTATCCAGCCACGGTGCGCATCCCGAAATCTCGTCTCCCAAGGTAGTAAGCCCTCCCGGCGACTTTTTTCCCAATTCGGCCAAAATCAACTTGCGGAACAGATTACCGCAAAGGCGCCCGGGGGCTCTTCTCGGAAAACAGGGTCCCGCTCCGCTTATCCTTCTTCCCCTTCCCCTTCCCCTTGCCACCCGCTGGAGGCGGCGTACCGGGAGCAGTAGCGTTCTGTCCCGGGGCTGGAATCGCGCCGCCGCGGTTGAGGCACGAGTCGTTGTCCGGGTTGGCGACGTTGATGGGCACCTGCAGGACCTGTCCGATCTCGATGAAATCCGGGTTGGGGATGTTGTTGAGCTTGGCGATGTTGCAGATGCCCGAGTTGAGGAGGCGCGCGATCTGGCCGAGGGTGTCGCCTTGGATCACGGTCAGGGTGACGGTGCGGTTGGCGTTGTTAACTGCGCCGCCGCCGCCGGGCGGGGCGGCGGCCGGGTTGCTTGTCAGAGGGGGAGGCGGCGTTGCTTGCCTCTTTGTCGGGGGCGGCTCGGAGCGTGTTGGTTCGGAGCGGGAGAAGAGGAGGTGGGAGAGGCTGCGGGTGATGAGGCCTTTGGGGTCGACTTGGGCGTCTGGTTTGATGATTGGGTTGGCTTGCGCGATGCTGGCGAGGCCGGCCAGGGCGAGGTAAAGGATTGAAGAGCGCATTATGACGGTGGATGCTTTGTTGGTGACTGAAGTCGACGTATAGAAAGAGAGATATAGTTGAGTAGTTGATAGAGCTTTGACAGACTGTTCGTCGACTGAATGAGTGACAGTTTCGACGGCGAGCACAAAACCTTGGTCTTTGAGGTGTGGGATACCGTGGGGATATATGGCGACTGAAAGAGCGTCTGGTCTGGAAGTTGGAACAGGGAGACTGTGGTCAGAAAAAGAATGGCTTGGCCCTTGAAAGAACTGAGACGATCCCCTCCCCTCGTCTGTCAAGTCAACTTTATATCAGAGATAATACCGTTCCTCCAAGGTATGCCACCTTCTCTGAAAGTCGCCGGATGGCTTGGAGCCAGGTCCGTCAGGATGCAAGGTTGGTTGCGATTGGCCAGATGGGGGGAGTTCGAGGTTAAACTGCCCACCCCGGCATACTGCCAGATCCACCTCCATGTAACCTGCTTAACAGACACTAAGCCCTGCCGCCCGCCCTACGATGCCTCCCATGGATCCGGTATGGGCGGAGGTCGGCGGGCAGAAGTTGGGTTGCGAAGTGCGGGAGCGTTGGCTTCAACGTCGCGGAGGGGTGAGGGAGTTCCACACATAGGCCGCCCGCGAACGCCGAAGACAGTAGCGAAAAGCTAAAAATATGGGGGGATCTTGGAGAGATGCGCGTTGTTGTAGCGTACTCCGCGAAGAAGACACGCTGAAACGGCAGCCCAGTACTTCAACAGTGTTGCGGCCGACAATTGAGTCAGGTTCCAGCGAACAGTCGTGGACCTCAAATCAATGGAAGAACTGGTTCTGCAGTGCTTCAGAGTCGGCAGGGGAGAGCTGCCTAGGATGGGACAGACGGACCCAGCAACTTGAGACGGCGTCCACACCAGTTCCCAAACGGTTACTCGCATGTTGTTGAACTCTATCAACGAAACCACAGACAAGCTCAGAGATGTCCCGCGAGTATCGCACATCCTTCCTTGAGTCAGGTTCCGGGGCGGTTTGGACAGAGCCCAACTCCTTAGTCCAGCCCAAGCTTTTTTAGCGCATAGGATGCTGAGGTTTCCGGTTTGCGTGCTCTCGATTTACTGCTCTGCAAGGAGGTGCTGCTTGTTTCCAGCAAAATGATGGCACCAAACGGATCTCGGATCTCCCTGCTTCAAGGAGTGAGGTAGAGTCGCTTGACAGGATGCTGACGTCTAACCGCCAATGAGGAAATTCCATTTCTTCTAGAAGTCCCAAGAAGTGCTGCATCTGCTCTGAGTCTGTGACGCACGGCACTGCCACCCAGCAAACTGGATGATTTGCGAAAAAAAAAAAAAATGACCAGACGAACTAGAGCCCCAGCCGTTTCGGGGTGAGGTGGGCACCCACGACAGGATCCGAGTCCGATCTACGCCAGGGAACACGTCTTACAAACTTTAAACCTCTAAGCCACGCGCCCACCTTACATGTTGGTCGACGAAGCTCAACTGATTTGTCTTTTGCAAAAGTGACTTTTTGGTGATGTTCGGAACTCACTCCCAATATTGGTGTATCCATTTCGATGGAAATTGGCATTTGGAAGAGCTCGTGAAGCGTGAGAATTCGACGCATTGTGAGGCAGATAGCTGCGCTTACCGGTTTGTAGGCACTTGGAATGAGATTGGAAATTGGAAGTGAAATTCTCTCTCTCAAGATTGTCGGGAGTAAGCCGATTGAGCCGGCTTACCCGCATGAACGGTCCAACGGAAGTTCTGCTGCACTCTGTGACAGCAATGAAAGCCTCGCGTGGAATCAAATCTACAAAACCAGGCATTACGTCAAGAGTGTTATCGAGAATCTACCACAAATTGATTTTACTTGTATCGAGCAATATATCGTTCATCTCATGGATGAGGGTTTGGGTGATTGGTTTATGTTCTCTCAGCTAATTATCGGGTACATAATATCTAGCGAAACCTCCTCTTCCACAACAGGCACAGACTGCTTTCCGAAAGGGCCATATTCTCCAGTTTGTTGACCGTCCCATCTTTGTCTCGAGTATAGTGCACCCTAAAACATTACTTGGCATTGTGGCTCTGAAGATAGCAACAAGCAAGGGAAGGCAAACTTGCACCACACCTTACCTATATACCAAATATGCTTATTTGCTATTGCAGGCTTTTGCTTTGGCCTTGGCTGTGTTCGACCATCTCCAGAAACATGCCGCGTTTGATCACCCGTAAAGCACTTTCTCTGAGGACTTTCATAGACTGAATTTCTCGAGCCGTCAATCACAGTCTGACGAGGGGAGGAGAATCTGCCGATGGGTCATGGTCTAGGAATTATACCGACTCGCAGCGGTCGTTGAGGCTTTGCAGGGACTTTGAATGTCTTATTTGTAAATGAGATCAACCTCGTCTGACGTAAGTTGGAGAACTAAATTTCATGGAGAAAGGTGGTGAGATTGATTGAAATCTACGCAACCGAGGCAGAAAGACCATTGTTCCTCGAAGTGGTCGTTTCCGATTCCTTGGAGTTTTGGGCAGTCGCTTAGCTTTCGCTCGCAAGCCATAACATCCACCGTCACAAGACTCGTCATTCTTGAAAGGATTAGTTTGTCAAGACCGACAAGAGAACATTCAGCCGGCCCATATCAACTCAGTCACGAGCTGTCGTTAGACATATCATGCCTGTGTGTTAGAATCCTTCTCCGTAAATACAATGATAAAGGGGCGCATTTATCTACGAGATCTTATTTCAAGCAACCAACAGTCATCACAATTATGAACATTACTAGAATACAATCTGATGTGTTCATCTGCCAACTATCGAGACTACCGGGTTCTGGTAACGGAGCTACGCTGATCACCTCTAGGTAGTATGTGTTGTCCTTTCGCTTGCCAATTGAAGAAGCTTCTTTCATATCTCATTCTCAAGACTCCTCGTTATTAACCCACTCATGCTGATCCATAAACTGGGCCATGGTTTTTTCCACCATCGGTGCGTCGTGAATCTCGTCTCCGATCGCACGCAGGTTAGCCGCCAGCTCCTCGGTCGGCTCCCAGTCTAGGTATAACTTCACCAGCTGACGTGTCACGCCTCTATTGCATTTCGGGCACAGGAACCTTGGCGGGTGCTTTGGCGCCGTACGACAGGGCGCAAAATACGCAATGCACATCCAGATGGGTTCATCCTCCTCAGCCTCGTACTCGAGCTGAAAGTTCAGCGCCGCGGAGGTGAGCGTAGGCATCAAATTCAGCGCGTTGGCGTACGCATCGATGAAAGGCGCGATATGGTCGTTGTCAGGCTTGCAGCGGAAGACTTCTACAGGGGTCATGCGCGCGTAGGCGGCCTCCTCCACGAAGCTGAACTCTTCGTTGTGCAGATCCGAGTGGGCGTTATTTGTGCTGGAGCTGTGAGTATAGGGCCGGTGGTCAGGGCTGCCGTCTGCCTTTTGGAAGTACCAAGTTCCTGAGGGGGAAGTGGCGTGCATGTTAATGTCGAGAAATCTAAGGTTGGGCCATGATGTCTTGCTCAGGCCCTGCATAGGTCGTAGGAGGGAGTCGTCAAAGGAGCCGGTAACACTCAGATCTACGAGATTTTGTGAGAATGCGCAGATAGCAGAGCTCAACGGGTCTGGGACTCCGGGCTCATGTAACGCTGGCGGCATTGCCCTCTCGTTCCGATATCGTCTCTGAAAGAACTCGAATTCGGCTTTCCTCAGTGACGGTAGTGATAGCTCTCGAATAGATTTTGCCGCTTCGTTCCGATTATTGATTCGTATTTGGTCGAATCTCTTCTCGTCGTCGTTGATGAATAGCTTGAAGCGTTCCAAATTCGGCATCTTTGAGGCAAGGAGGATAGGCACCCTGGGGTAGGTGTTCCGGTAGCCATACCTCTCCTCTGGTTGAATCATCGTGAGCTGTTTGATTCTCGCCAGATCCGGGAGTAGTCGGCATTCTCTTAGTTCAATGAAGGAATGCAAGAACCGACCCTCATAAATCCCGTCCTCCTCGGGGTACATCTCACCCCAGGGAACATACTTGGTCGGCCATGGTGTATCAGAAGGCGATTCTGGGTGGTTTATATATAACGCGAGGCGACAGCTGATTGTATCGGGATCTTCATCTTCCCAACCGCGAAGAATCTCGAATAGTGTTCTTATGCCATCACTGTAGCACTTGTCATTGATAAGCCGTTCTTCGGGCGATTCCGCTCTGTGGGATGCAGCATCATCGTAAGGCGGAAGAGTGATGGTGACGATCAAGCTGGCCAGATGATATCGCCTAGCCGGAGTGAAAAGCTCAATGAATTTCGGAAATTCGTCACTGGTGATCTTCAGAGATCTGAACGTGGCTTTTTCCACGGCGGCTTGTAGTCGATGCGAGACTGTGGCTATCGGAGCGATGGGCCAGACTGGTCTCATGCGCGTATTATAAGGCTTCAGTTTTGCTTCGGGCTGCTGCTGCGGTAATAGATAAGAGACAATATCATCGACCAATTCTTGAGGAAGGGTCTCCATTTCGATGTGGTTGAGCACGATGAAGCATTGATGGCGAGGTAAATAAGAAGCTGCCATGACCTCAGTGGCTTCAGAGGAACATAAACTCACCAAACCCCTCTCCGGGCTTGGACCCGATATTCCCTAGGCAGCCACGATTTGGCGCGCCCTCCAACCACACCAGAAGTGCCAGTAAGGAGCAACCATGGAAGCTAGGCTTTATTGGGTTAGCTCATGCCCCCTGTCTTTTTCTCATCGCATCTCCAAGCACGTAACATCTGGACAACGAGTTCTAATAATGTTGGACTATCCAAGCATTAATCATTCCATGTCACCTTTGATTATTCGACTCATGATTTGGCAACTAGCGCCTGATTCTTCTGCCACTAACTCAATAAATGTGACAGTTAAGGTCACTTTCCTCCTCCAATCATGTTCACTAAGACATTGCGATCGTCAGCTTAATCCGCGCCATTCAAGGGAAATGAATTCCAAGCATGAGCGCCCGTATCATATCCCCGCCGCAGGATCCGATGTTCCCCTATTGGAAAGCAGAAAAGTTTGCGTTGATTATCATTAGAAGTAACGGAGCTGAACTGAACGTCCAGTCGAGTCAGTCGAGTTGCCCTGCCCTACTAACACTAAAATCCGCGGGCCGTACCGTATCATCCAAGACCTTGACGGGACGCATAGTGGCCCAGGCTCATGTTGCATCACACCAAGTTGGTGCTATCGCCAGCAACCATACATTTCGTTGCATGTGATGACATTAATTCTCAAAACCCATCATCACTGCAGAGAAGCAGTAAACCAGCACTGACTGGCGCACCCATCGGGCTGGTTGATGAGATGGCACTTTAAACCACCATTCGCAAGCCTTTGTCAAGATTTCGAAAGGGTAGACTCTTATTTACACCGCCACTATGTATTGTAAGATCGGAACTAGTATACGCTTAGTCGGAATCGTCTCCGAGTTGCTCGTCCTCGCCGCCTGTAGACCCAGCAAAAGCTCCAGATGCCTTGTTGAAAGCAGCCTCGCGCCTCTTCTCAAGCGCCTCGGCATCTCCCTTGATGCTTGCAGGGGCCTTGGAAATCATGACCGCAGAAAGTTCCTTGCCAGCAGCCTCGGTCTTGGTGACGTTCTTCTTCACGAGACCACCAACCTTCAAGCTCTCGAAACGAGCCTGGTTCGACACCATGGCATTAAGCTGAGTCTCGGTGAGGTCGACGATGGTATTCATCTGGCCCAGAAGCTTCTTGGCTTCGTCTTCGGAGGGAGTGAAGGTCTGTTATTGATTCAAATGTTAGTCCCAACAGTCGCTTGACAGAAACGAAAGAAAACGGAAACTCACCGAGTAGTCCTTGATACCCTTGTTGATCGTGCTGACGATTGAGTTTGACTTGGTGCCCAGCTTGATGGCATCCTTGTAGTTCATGTCATTGCCCTTGCCGAGAATCTTGATCGACTTGTTGACCTTGCGCTCGATGTCGCTCAAGCTCTTCGAAAGATCGGCGAAAGACATTGTGCTGATTGTGTATTGACTGTGGTCAAAGTTAATTCTGAAATGTGTTGGTAAGTTGGAATGCTGTTTAGATGTGATGATGATGGTGGTAATGGTGTGTTATTTGTTGCAGGCGCAACTGAAGCCTTTTTATGATCCATAGAATCAAATCATCGTGATTCACATGCTGTTGTTTACCTCGGACCACACACACTTCTGTCCGTCCAAAAGAGTAGCTGACCCCTAGAGCATGAACCAAGCACATCTGGGGTAGCCCTGAGCTATGACGTGTTCAGAGAGCCTCATCTTCAAGCGCCCGGCGATTTGGGAGCTGTGGCCCAGGGTCTGGCTTCGAAACATGAAACGATGCGGAGGCCGCCCAGCGATCCTCCGCCTCTGATGAGCCCCCGGACAGAACCCAGGAAAACTCTTTGATGGGTCCTTTTCTGGCGAGACGTCCCGAAAAACAGGTTCAAGACAGAAACTGCCTTTCCCGAAGATAATTATGCGAACGTGAAAGGAAGTGTGATGTGCAGCGGTGACAGGGAAGGTGTTGGGCAAGGATTCGTCGATCATTCGGCAAGCGGTCAACATGCATCGCTCACACGGCCGGCGATCGTAACATTAGTCTTTGGCAACTATTATGAGAACACATACCGAATCCTACCCCACTGTTTCCCCAGCGTCGATAATTCGTCGAATTGCCCCAGGTCGTACAGCCTTGTCGTTGTTAGCATGAATTGTTAGTAGGATGCTTCCTTGGCTGTGGCGGGGCATGGGCGTTTCTCTCTGTAACCAGAAGCTCACTGCCTCGGCCCGCAGGAGACAATTCACGTGGATTTGCAACTCAATTCTATCTTGCACGCATTCAAGTAAACAACACCACGTGCTCGCCGACGGCCTTTCTGAGAGTTCACAACAGGCAAGGCATAATGCAGCAGTAACATCTAATTCGAGAAGCGTATCAGCATGAAATGCTGCTGCGTGCCGGTTGCCTGCGCGATGTATCAAAGCTCCAATGGATCTTTGTATCCTTAGTCAAGGATGGTCCGAGTCCGAGTCCGAAGTACCTCCCGTGGCGCACCCACCTATCTCCGAACCGGTGTACACTTTGCGGTCGTGACTTGCTTTTGTGCCAAATTGATCGATGTGGTAATCAACTATTGGCTTACACAAAACGAATACAGGAGGAGATTCTTGAGTAGTCCGTTACAATCTCAATTGAACACAGAGCGGAGGGATGATTGCGAAGCAGGAGAGCAAGACGCCTCCATACGCATTGTTGAATTGGATTCATACTCGGTAGTTGTGCAAGTAGACCAATAGCGATTTGAACATTGAGAAGTAGGAAGGTTGTGAAAATTCTATGATATTTAAGAGTTGAGAATCTCACCATTCTTGAGAAGGTCAGAGAACGACGAGGTTTCTTGAGAAATTATTCAGTCAAGTTGTTATGTACCGTTCAACTGCCTTTACGGACAGCCCCAGGAAATGTAGAAGCCAGTAAAGACAGTACAAGTATCAGCTGACGGAAGGCTAAGGCTCCGTAACCGAACTGGTCAGAACTAAAAAGCCGTTTAGCAGTCTATCAGCCTGTATCGCGGATAAGTTGTAGTGCTTGCGGCTTGCTCAGCAAAGGTCCAGGACTTAGGTTGGGCATATAAGCTTCAGTATTGGCTGGTCCGATCCAATTGAGTCATCTCTGACATTCGAGACAACGGTTACTTCGATCTTGTACACTTAGTCAGTAGACAAGTCCCTTTGATCTAGCACGCCCTCTTATTGGTTACTTAGTCTTTATGAGGATACAATCTCAACAGCCTAGCAGCTTGCTTGCAGAAGTCACCTCTGAGTCTGCGGCCCGCTACTCTTCTTACATTAAATTGATACAGTAGTCGAATTATGGTGCCGTCGGTCTCCTGGTTCTTAGGTTATATTGAGGATCCAAAACAGCCTTACTCTACAGGACAATATCCGTGCGTGGAATCCAAATTGCCAAACCTCAAGTCTCAAGTCCCAGTTCAAAGCTCGAGAAGAGGTTGGGTTATTGAAAGATGATAGCGCCCGACCACGGTAAGCTTCAATGAAGTAAAGGTGAGAGAACTAAACTCCACTCTTGCAACTGATCGTGTTGACATATAGCAAGCAGCATCAGTGTGTCTATCTCCACTAAGATCTGTAGCGACTCTCTCATTTCTGAGTGACAACCCCACGATGAAGCTGATTTTCGTCCGCGCCAGTTTCCGTTTTCTCACTCGCGATGCGAGAGCGCTTGGTGGGGCCATGACCGGGGCCGGGATCCTTCTGTCGGGTGCCGGGGATCGGAGCACGTGCAAGAGCATAGCGGGGTAGCGAATGCCGGTTTGACCCAGGCCGGCCGAGGCAGTCGAACGTCTCGTTGGCTGCATGCAGAAGATGGGCGGCCTTGCGAGCATTGAGCCAACGACATGCGGCTTGTTTGTTGTTCCAAGGAGTTCATCAAATGACCTTCGAGCCTCGAGTTCTTGCAGCAGCCAACCACATGTGCATTATACAGATCTTGTTGCCAACCTAGGTGGTGAAATGGAATTTAAGGCAGTGAACAGTATTGTTACGTGACATGCTGTCCTATTTCAAGTGCACGATTCGTGGACCATCACTTCCTTAGCCCTATTGGAGTCCAATTGTTGGTTTGAGGTGCAAGAATCTGGATGCCATATTTCGTTGACCAAAGTCATATGGCATTCAAATTCTGTGCCGAGTTGCTCCATTTAGTCCGAAGCTATTGCGACCGAATATTGCTCAATTGGATGCTATGGAGACCATCAAGATAAGGTGAGGCATTCGGTAATTAATGGGATTCTCGACTGGTGTTCAGTAGAGCAGCCGCAAATTCATGAGTTGATGGGCCGAATGTAACTAACATTCGTGTCTTTGAGATTAGATGCACTCGGGAATAAATCATGAGAGGTTCATGTATTATGTTGCATTGGTACCGTCTACTTTGTTTGATACAGCCTAGAAGTGTCTAGCAATTACCAACGACCCCGTATATTATGACAACCAGGATGTATTTGCGAGGTCTGGAAGCCCCGATTATCCCAAAAGACCCCTTGCGACCTGCAACCTGCCATAAGGTACCTTAGGTTTAGTTGGGTACATGTACCTAGCACATGACTTTGTCCCAGCAATTCACAACATCATGATGCACTGAAGCGACGTTCATGTCGCAGAACCTTTCCTAGACTGCCAAGAATCTTTTCAGTCCGACTTTGTTGTCGGGACGAGGTTCAGAGTTTTGCGTTGCCACGGTCATGTCTAGGACAGTGAACCTGGATAGTCGGTGCGGTGCTATGCTCTAAGAACCGAATGCGGTGAAGGTCGTTGAGCTTTCTCTGTACAACATTTGTCATGAGACGGGAGACCCGCATAGCCGAGCGCTGTGCTCTGGTGGAATGTTGCTGTAGTGATCTTGGGATGATATGGGGTTCTGTTCTGGAGACCAGGTTTCGCGAAGGTTTCTACGTGGCCTTGAGAATGATGTGTCGTTGAGGTTGCGTTAAGGGAAATTGACGTAGATTCCTCGGTAGTTGGGGGAGTCGCCCCAGAAACCGCGGGGCCGGCGTCCGTTGAAGTCTTTCCAGTCCCTTCTATACTCCTTCATCTTTTCCTTCTTTCTCTTCTCTGATACCCCGCGTTCCAGAAGCGCGTACCACTCGAGTTTCTGGGCCATTTCTAGGCTGGCGACGTCTCTCTCCTCGATGGCAGCCTCGGAAGGAGTGAGTTCTCTGGAGCATCCGCAACCCATTGTGGTGACTGGTTTGTATGGTAGATAGATGAGCGGAGAGAGGCTGCTGCGGTGATTTCAAATGTGAGAGAAGACGTAAACTGACACCAACGACCAGCTGTGTTGTGAGAATTAGCTGATCGGATTGCTGATGAGGGACGGAACAGAAGCCGAGGGTTGATGTGAAGAATCGGCCGGTTATGTGAGTGAGAGGGATGAGTGGTTTAGCTGGTGAGCCTGAATGAATGCCAGTAGAGATGCTTCTGACTTATACATTCTGGAAGATCAATCTCCGTAACCTGTATGGTAAGGGTTCTCCCTCATGGTGTCCATGAGAGTGCCCACTTTCCAAAGATGTTGTCAAATCTGTCCACCGTGGGGAAGAAAGGAGACAAAGTTGTCGGGCAGAAACTCAGAGTTCCGGTCATGGTAAGATTATGCATCTCAGCTGCTTAATTTGCGCAGTGTAAGTGAACTTTGCTGCCAAGAATCTCTTGGCTTCATTGCCCGAATGCCTGTCTCAATTGTGTGAGAGATCTCATCAACAGTGAGGCTATCTTGTCTTTTCTTAGCATCACCTCCTTGTACACCGCCTATGACACTTGCTAAAATACTTCAAAGTCTGATGAGAAAAGGATATTCATTGCAATCGTTTTGTCTATGTCATAAGAATTTGGTGGATATGAGAAAAGGACTCATCGAGGACCTCTCACATTCATCACGAAGAGCCCTTTGGCATCCTACCTTGATAAGCCCGTCCACTCAAAACAAGTTCGGCGGCAGGCAAAGTAACACAGGTCAACCGCAACCCTGATAGTTAAAACACCGCTGTTTAGAGGCTGTTCTGAAGGCTTCGACCGCAACTTTATACAATAGCTTGGAGAAGAGGCCAGTCGTGCCGGAGATACCAAACATAAACGGCCAGGCTGAAGCATATCCCACGTGCAGATCTTACAATGACTGTCCGCAAGGCACCTCGCACTAAGAATTGATTCGTACTTGTGACTCACAAAGAATTTACTTTCTTCGATAACAAGGTACCTAGAATCATAGTAGAAGCTTTCAAATGAAATCTACTAGTAGACTCAGAGCGTTATGAAGAGGCAGAGCTGTAGCGTGTCGGGTACTTCTATCACACTAACAGCAGAATGGGAACGGCAAGAAAGCGCGCGCCTCTAGTTAGGTAAGAGACGAATAGAGCGTTACTCCAAACACACTCCCATTACAACTTCAGCTCAAAAGAGTTCTTGATAGAGAGAAAATGAAGAAAGTTTTCGAATTTTTGTGTTATCGCCCTTTTGCAGTTGACACGGTATCTCAGCTCTTTTGGCATCTTACCTATGACTCGAAAATAGAGAACGTATCTTGTGCATAGGAACGCGACACCGAAAATAAATTCTGTTGGTTGTTTTTATTCTCCTTTGACTTGGGGTTCATCAAACATCGGATACTACTCTATGTTCTAATCTGAGAGCTTCAAGAGAGGTCGCGCCGATTCAGCTCAGTAGGGTATATTCAGTAATGAATTCGTACATGTAAGCTCTCCCTTGTTTGATTGTCGCATGGGCCGAGAATCTATCAGACAGGCTCATTCAGCAGACCCGCCCAACTGCTGTTTACGTTCTCATCCGGCAAAGACAATCTGTATGAGTTTCCACCAAGAACGAAACTAGATCTACGAGTGCCTGAACCCGATGATAATAACATGTATTGGAACGTACATTATGCAGAATGAGCGAGGGCCGCGAATGATTGGGAGACGTCACTATCTTAGAAGACAACCGTAAAGCCCATGCAACAAACGGTTAGCAATTAGAATGCAGACGCTCATGGATAGAAGCATCCGTCAGCATATTGAGGAAGGTCAGATTGAACAATTATCTAACGACGATCAGATGATCTATTGCCTCACGGTGGCTAAATGGCAAACGTAGCTGCAGCATTTGGCGGAGACGAAGAAAGATGGCCACCTGAATGATTGAAAGAAGCAAACAATTAAGCTAGAAAATTGCCATTGAGATTCATGATCGGCACTCGCAACGTTACGTGGATGATGGCTGAATGTGGCTGGGCTATTGGTGTTGACAGATAGGTACACACTAGCCTCGAATCCTTCACCAAATCGGCGTCGAGGCTCGTATACCTGCTCTTACGGACGAGGCCGAGCTGAACGGGTAGAAACCGGTCCGATCAAGTGTGTCTCGATCCTGCAACCACCAGCATGAGGTCGGCTGCGTTACCAACGGCTTGCCTCGGCCGAGCGGATTGTGGCGGCTTCTAAAGGGACCTAACATGTCATAGATCAGCTCTCAGATGATAAGGAATAAGCTGCCATTCGCCTGAGCAGGTTCACCCGAACTAACGCCACTGCCGTCTCTTATCCTAACTTCCAACACTCTTGGAGGCCCCGCAACTTGCCATTGGATGTTAATCGTGCCTATAGGCTAGAGATACGACATGTCACTGAGAGACAAGGTGTCGCCCGCAAAGTGAGTGTGTCGGCTCCATCAAGAGACCCAGAGGGAGAGATCCAGCGTACCAGCCTGGCGGAAAGCTGCGTGGGGTTAATAAGTGACTGCCAACGAACCAGGCTGGGATTCCCTATCTCTGGGTTTGCCTGCTACCGCTTGCCAGATGGCCAATGGGAAAGACCGGCTTTTTTGCAATCATCAGGATATGCCATATTTTTGGTTCTTGGGCTGACCTTCTGCAGGGCGGTCCACAAGGCTAGGTAGGCCGCATGCTTTTCTGGGATGTCACTCACCTACCCGAGATACCGAGGAGACGCTGCAGCTGTCCGGATCAGAATGCATGCTGGCTGCCCACCCCGCAGAAGATATTCTGGAATAAGGGTACGACGGCCGGGTATCACGGATGGAGCTCTCGCAACCTTTTTCGCCATCTCTCATGCCCATGTCCCGAAAGCCACGCGAGGTGGTGGCCAAATGCATCCGATTCAATGTCTAGGTTGCCCACACCACCAAGCCCATGTCTGTTTGCCGCATTGGAAATCGCTACCAGTTGTGATATGAAATTGCTGTGTCAGGAAGGCATCTCCAGGCGGCATTGATGAATGCTTGAATAAGCACAAATTATCCCAATTTAATTGTTTGGTTGTCACCCAGGGTGGTGGTGGGCAGTCGTGACACCGTGCCACCGCGCGCTACGCCGTCTTTTCCAGCCAGCGGGGACCTGGGGAAATGACAGGAACTTTACGTACGAGAATCCGTAATTCCAGTCGTTCTCGATAACCTTAAACTGCTACCGAGGCGCTGGAGAATCTGTCGCAGATAGACTTGGAGAAAAAGGGCATCAGTGATTGATGCTGCGGCGGTTTGTCAGGCGTAAGACATGGCTTGCCTTCCTGTTTGTTCCTTCGCGTGATGTTTGCTCACCAAGTTTGTCCAATTGCTGTCCGTCGTGCTACAGTGAGAAAGACGGTGAGATAGCTGAGTGAGAAAGGCTGCCGAGGTTGCTGCCGAGTCAGTTGCGCCGATTCGCTGTTCCTGGATAGATGTGCTGAATGAATGACATCTCCCATCTTCATCGCTAACGCAGGAATACCGATACAATCAAATCTGACCACAACCGCATTCCCAAGGTCCTTTTGCGCGGAACTATCGCGTGGGGCGGAGGTCACCCATCAGGAAAGTCTCCAAGCGCAGTCGGACGAACCAACCCTCTCCAGCAGCTCGGATCTTAAGCGGCAGGCATCCTTCAATCGTGTCAACCCAGAAGGGCGCGCCTACGGAGCACAGAGGGACGTTTGTCACGCTTTCAGAGGGGCCATTTGCGGAGGGAACGAAGGGGTGGGAGGGGTCTCAGGACCTTTTTGTTCATCCACTTGTGTCCAGAATGCTCAACTTGTCAGTGCTTGTGTCATTAACCTGACAGCCTCGAAGCCAACTCGACGCAATGATTGGCCTCGCTGCCGACAGACCATGACATGGGTGGCAGCATTTGCCGTCTCTTCCGACGTCCTTCCCGAACAGTGCAGATTGTCGCTCTGTTCCCGCGTCTCTGAGTGGCCAACAGAGTCGGAACTCGCTTCTCCAGCTCTTCTACTCTCGCGTGCCTTTGCAGGGATTCAACTCGGGTGATTAACTAAGAAAGTCTTGGCCTCGAAGGCTTGAAGAGGGACAACCGCGCTAGACAGGCATCATCCTCGGACCCCAAGGTCCCTTTGCTATCGGCAGATCCACTGAAAGCAGGGCCCTTTTGCATTGAACGACTTTTTGTCGGAGGAGTGGCGACGCGGGTTGGCTAGCTCGCAGCCACCAACGCGTTGGTCTTGTTGCCCTTTTCCTCCTTTTGGCTCTAGCGGTCGAGCCCAGGGTACGACTTGCGGCTTCTGGCGATGCTTCCCACGCTTCCCCGACCTTGGCCACCCGTCTTGGACATTGCTTGAGTTGCTTGAGATGTGCTTGGCTGCCATTCTCTCTGCCACACCCGGCGACACCATGCCCTCCCGCAGTGACTACCTGCTCTTTTCGTGCTTGGCGCCCAGCCCCCTTGGCGATCGATCCGGGAGGCGGCTCTTTGAATGGCCTGTTGAGTGCGGAACGACTCACCTCGAGGGTCTCAACTCTCGCGCTCTTGTCAGTCTGACAACTCCGTTGTTGTGCGCCCCATGTCGTCAAGTCAATGTGCAACTTTGGCGGTTGGAAGATGGGAGGCGGCGGTGACCGGCGGCACGACGGCGGAGGAGGGTAGCGGGATGGATCAATTGCCAACGCCCCAACGCCATTCCCGCTCAAACGGCGCTCGATGGCCCTGGCCTAACCATCGAATGACAAGAGGCCTCTTGGTCATTTCTGGGAGGCGGACAGGCTCCGCGACCGCACCGTCGAACAATACATGAGTACCTAATTTGTTCCAGTCACCGAGAGTGGCCTATCAGGGGGTGGAGAAGAGACGGGCGGAATGTGTCCACCCCCAGAGCACCCCTCCACTCCCACAATCCAGCCCGTTCCTCCTCGAGATGCTAGTTCGTTGCCTGAAGTTCTTCGGGTGGTCCAAATCTGCGAGGGTATCGAAGTATCGAACGCGGGTTGGCGGGTTGGTCGGTTGACTTTCTGTGCCGTGGTATCCTATCAAACGGCACGATCACACCTCTTACGAACAACCAGAACCATCCCTTCCCACCCTTCTAGATGGTGGCGAGGAAGGATAGACCCAACAAGAGTCCTCTTGAGACGAACGATTGGTGCATATCAGGGGCGATTTCGTTTATCGGTCACGTCAGTGCGTCTGTCAAGGACAAGCTACCGCCCGTTCCACGGCTCCTGGTGTGTGTACTCCATAGAGACACACACACACACACACACCCTCCATCTCGTCCAAACAAGCTTCCGCTTGCATCCAGCGCAATATCTACATAGTAGCCTTTTCGTATCGCCCGATGCTCCGCCAGGGGTTGGCCCGCTTCGCCCACGACTGACTCCATTAGGCAGGTCATTATCTCGGCCCACTGGTCGCCGATATGGCAACCGATCATGGAGTCCATCGACGAGGCCCTAAATGTGCGACGCATCTAAATACTACCCGACGCGCTCTCCCTCGTTGTGTTCGATTCTGGTTTCCTCAGCCCATAAGCTCTACGACCAGAGACTCCCCCCTTTGAGTTCCATTCTTTTGAGAACTCAGGGTGCAACCCGAACGCAACACCAACCCGGTAACCAGTACCTGAAAGATTGCCAACCATGGCCTTCAGCAAGTGGAGGGGCAAGGTCGGAGAGCGGCCAATCGTGGTCGACGCCGTCTCGACCGGCGTCGATGCCAACGGTCTCGAGACCGTCAACCCGGACGCCGAACTCAAGAAGTTCAAGAAGATTCACAAGTGGGATCCCTTTTTGGACATTGACAAGCTCGATGCCGCCGACGCCGCCGTCCAGTCTGGCGACTACGAGAAGGAGGCTGCCGTTGAGGCTGCTCTTCACGAGGACTCTCCCTACCCCGAGGTCCGCGCTTCGGTGAGTTTATTCAACGTCCCGAGTCGAGCAACGGGCGCCATGACTAACATGACTAGGTTCAACCTTTTGACGACACCGAGTTGCCGATCAACACTATCCGTGCCTGGTCGATTGGTGCCATCATGTGCACAATTATCGCCGCCTGCAACATTCTCCTCGGTCTCCGTCGCTCACCCATCATCATCACCTCCACCGTGGTGCAATTGATCTCCTACCCTCTTGGTTGCTTCTGCGCCAAGGTTATCCCGGAGATCAAGTTCAACCTCTTCGGTCACGAGCTCAACACCAACCCCGGTCCCTTCAACGTCAAGGAGCACACCATCATCACCATGATGACCGCTGCCGGTGCCACCGCCAGTTACGCCATTGATATTCTCCTCGCCCAGGAGATCTTCTACAAGCAATACTTTGGCTGGGGCTTCCAGGTTCTGCTCATTATCTCGACCCAGGCCATGGGTCTTGGTATTGCCGGTATCCTGCGTCGCTACCTGGTCTGGCCCGCCGCCATGGTCTGGCCCGCGACCCTCATCACTACCACCGTCATGCACTCACTTCACGACCACTCGTCTTCAGATCCCGCCCTCACCAACGGCTGGAGGATCGGTCGCTACAAGTTCTTCCTCATTGTGGCTGCCGCTACCTTTGTCTATGAGTGGATTCCCGAGGTGTTTGCTCAGTTCCTGCAGATCTTCACGTTTGTCTGCTGGATCGCCCCCAACAACGTTGTCGTCAACCAGGTCTTTGGCGGTCAGACTGGTCTCGGTCTTATCCCTATTTCCTTTGACTGGAGTACCATTTCCGGTTTCTTGCTCTCTCCCCTGCAGACCCCGGCTTTCGCCATCGCCAACGTCGGTGCTGGTATCATCATCATGATGCTTGGCTGCATCGGTCTTGCCTGGGGCGGCCCCGATTTCTACCGCTACCTTCCCATCAGCGCCAACTCCAACTTCGACCACTTCGCTCAGCCCTACAACACGAGCCGTATCTTGACTCCCGACTTCACTTTCAACGAGACTGCATACAAGGAGTACTCTCCTCTCATCTTGGGTCCCGCCTTCTCCTTGTCTTACGGCATGGGTTTCGCTGGCCTCATCAGCACCCTCGTTCACGTTGGTCTCTTCTACGGCCGTGACATCATTGACCGCACCAAGTCTGCTTCCAACGAAGAGGCCGATATTCATCTCAAGCTTATGCGCCGCTACAAGGAGGCTCCTGAGTGGTGGTTCGCGACCATGTTCGCTGTCAGCTTTGCCTTTGGTATGATTGCTTCCCAGGTCTGGAACACTCACTTGACCTGGTGGGCCTACATCATCTGCATCATTATCGGTGCCTTCTTCATCCTTCCCGTCGGTATCATTCAGGCCGTCACCAACCAGCAGACCGGTCTCAACGTTATCACTGAGATGATTGTCGGTTACATGACGCCCGGCCGCCCCGTCGCCATGATGCTGTTCAAGTCTTGGGGTTACATGCTCTGCTACAACGGTCTCCAGTACGTGTCTGACATGAAGGTCGGTCACTACATGAAGATTCCTCCCCGCACCATGTTCGCCGCCCAGACCTTCGCCGTCGTCTGGTTGTCCCTCGTCCAGATTGCCTCTTACAACTTCCTCCGTGGTAACATTGATGGCGTCTGCACTTCTCATCAGGCCCAGGGTCTCACCTGCCCCAATGCCCGTACTTTCTACAACGCAAGTGTTATTTGGGGTGTCATCGGTCCCCGCCGCATGTTCGGTGCCGGCCAGCTTTACTCTTGGGTCAACTACTTCTGGCTCATCGGTGCCATCTGCCCCGTCATCCAGTTCTTCCTTGCCCGCCGCTACCCTCGCAGCATGCTCCGCTACGTCTTCTTCCCCGCTATCTTCGGTGCTGCTGGTATGATCCCTCCTGCCACCACCTGGTGGTTGGGACAGTGGGTTATTGTTGGTCTCATCTTCAACTGGTGGGTTCGCAACCGCTTCTTCGGCTGGTGGAGTAAGTCTTTCCTCTCTTGCGACTAGTGCCTCATTTGGACTTGTCGGTGTCATCACGTGTGCTAACCCGACTATCAGCTCGTTACAACTACGTCCTCTCTGGAGCCCTCGACATCGGCACCGCTCTTTGCATCGTCATCTCTGGACTTGCTCTGGGTCTTTCTAACACTGAATTCCCTTCATGGTGGGGAAACGAAATTATGGTATTATAAGCCTCCCCTTTCGCTATATTCTTAATGCTGACTTCCAATATAGAACAACAACCTTGACGCCGAAGGTGCTGCCGTTACGAAGATTTTGCCCGACGATGGTTCTACTATCGGACCTACACACTGGTAATTTATCAGAGCGCGGCGGGTGAAAGGATCATGTTGCATACATACATTACGAGAGCGATGTCGTTTGTTGCTACAGCGACACTTTTGAGCCTAATTTAATATACATTGTTACCCATGATGATGCATTCGATAGACTCAGACATGCATGCCGTAGATGACAACCTCCCGCAGGGTCAAGCCGAAGCTCTTTGGAACCTCACTAAAATACGCGATGACTCTACGTCGTAAATTTTCAAGATGGACGGCCGCCACAAGCGACACATTGATCTTTCCCCTGTTTTTCCTCATTCTATGATAACGGTCGCGTTGTTCCAATGTCTCCCATTACAGGGCAAGCTGTGAGGCACCTCATGCGGAGAGGTAGTTGTTCAATGTCAGCTGCTTTGGTCTACATCAGTCCGGTCACTCCGGTCCTCAGTGGTGGCCATGAGATCATCGCAGTGAAGGGCTCCAGCAACGAGGCGTAAAGAATTTCCGGCTCTGAATAATCTAATGATAGGATAGCCAATTCACCAAAAGCAGATCACAAGTAAAGCTGGGCGAGAAGGAAGTTGTGAAGCTGAGCCCACGTGTCGATCTGGTATTTACAACGCACACGTGACGCGGGGTCCGTTTCATCATCATTACATTTTGTTGCACTTTTCACCATATCCTCCGTTCTTATACTGAGCCGTGAGACTGCGGGGTATTCACAAGCGTTAACGTGGTTCAGCTGACCAATGACACTTTCTCACAATAGCGACGGCTATTCACAATCAGTATGGAAAATCCAAGAGATGGCCAACCAAGCACAATTATCGAAATCGCTCCTGATGGCGACCTCCTTCTGTTGGTTGGGCCAGACGAGACAAGAATGCGCGTTCATTCTATGTCATTGATGACAGTATCGAAACCCTTCTCCGTCATGCTCGGGCCAGACTGAAAGGAAGGCCTTGACATGCACGATCAGGGCAGACCTTCCGAGCTATTGCTACCTGAAGACAATGTTGCTGTATTAGCAATCACCTGTTCCGTCATTCATCATAAGAACAGTGAGGTACCTCGAACGCTCGCTGTTAGCAATGTCCTCGCAGTCGCTACCGCTACGGACAAGTACGATTGTAGCAATACGCTCAGATTTGCCACTAAAAGCTGGCTACGACCCTCTAGAGAATTGGCTAGCAATCTTATGCTTCTCACTACCGCAGCATATCTCTTACAGAATACACAAGCTTTCAAGGAGATCACGAGAGCATTAATACTTAGCTATGATAGTCCTTATCTTGCTCTCTATTAGAAAGATGCCGAATCTCTCATAACGTAGAGGGTCTTCTATAAATATCATGAGGATCTTTCGAGCCTATAACTAACAAGCAACCGGGCAGGTCTTCTAGAAGAGCAGAGAGGGCTCGCAAAGCTGAGGCTAGCAGAAATACTTACTACAGGGGTAAACGATGCGACTAGGCTGTGCGTTCACAAGTGCGGATAGACGAGCAAATATACGTATACGTACATAAAGCTGTTAGAGGAAGAGAACCTTTAGCCATCACGTTTATATCATACCTCTATCACTAAAGCACTAGAGTTAGCAGACATACCTAATCCGATCCCTAAGGAATCAAGCACTGCATATACTTATAGGTACAAGCACGCTACTCCAGCCTACAGGAGCAATCGTAGTTCGAGTCTAGACATCTTTCAAAAAAGCATCGGACTTTGCCTACGCTGCGCTCGCTCAGGCAGCATGAGTTCTAGTTGTTACGAGCCCTCCCATAGTTAGGAAGGCCGAGCGTTGGAGACATGCAGTGCTCGAGTCAGATAATTGATCCCTCTGTATTGGTATCTCTGACTTACCCGCGATAACATCGCCGATGTCGTTTGGGATTTAGCTTGCTGGCCAGACAGAAAAGGGCGTTTTTCTATTGATGACTCGTACCCTATGTTTGGTTGCGGCCTTGGTATGATATATGAATCCAGGTATACCCATGATAGTCCTTCAAGGAACCTCTGACTTAGTGGTGCCTGAGAAGATACGCCATGATGGCCGAGAGCGATGGTTGAGAACCTGCCTTAATACGCGAGTAGCCTCTCAAAGTGGTCCTTGAATAGGTCCTGAAGAGGCCTTCTCTGTTGAGGAATGACTCATTCTCGCCCTCTTCTTTGGCGTTTTTGAAGCTGAAAGATGACGGGCCCTCTTACGTATACTAGTCTATGGCTCGTTGGAAGACTCGCTCCATCTCGAAGTGGGGAAGGAGTGTCGGTAGGAAGAAGACCGCCGGCAAAGCTCGACCAGTAACAACCCCATCGCGTCACGACTTATACGATACATTATTAAACTCGATGAATACGGCCAGAACGTTTGGACCATCAGGAATAAGGTGTAAGCATATAAAATTAATCTACCCAATTACCTTTCTCTGGCTTTTTATCGGGGCTTACGGTTTATTAATCATACATGAACCTCTGGGTGCCCGTGCTGTTGCAACCATGCTGGCTTCTGGACACGCGAAACAGAGCTGGCTAGGCCTGGGTCAATATGTGGCAGGCATCATGTTGGACGGCCGCACATGTCTAGCCAAAAAGGTTTTCCGGACGACATCTGTATAACTTTCTGGCCACGTGGAAAAAGGCAGTCGAAAATTGGGAAGCTGGGATGGGAAAGAGGCCGGCGCGAGGGTTCGAGGTTTGGTGGTTGGAAAACTAACTGATTGGACGTTTGGCAACGGGCAGTTCTGCTAGCAGTCAATGAGCCTCTTGAGACTCTGTCATTTCACGTCCAGCACAGGCAGTCTGGTTGGCTAAGAATCACTTCGAAGAGAGGAGAGAAAAGCAAAAGGTGATGGGCATGGCGGAAATCGAACCCGCCCTTCCTCTCATTGTCTGCTTATAACTGTATTACCGCAAGCGGTGGTATGGTCTGAAAGAAGTGAGCGAAGCTCGACTCCTCTAAGCATATAACGGAGACGCTCTACCACTGAGCCACACGCCCGTCTGTTTTTGTTAGAACGGAAGGAGCATCAGAAGTTACAATACTGCCTAGCGCAGGTTCCGCCGCAAAAGTCTACCTCGACCCGCACCGTATTGCAGGTTATGGTGTGTACTTACTCAAATTTGCGCCCCGGTCCGGCATGTTGATTAATATAAGGTAATTTAAGATTGTTTCTGGAATAGTTGTCTACTTTCTAGGGCTCGGTAGACATTATGAAGACTAGAATCTCCTCTTTAAAACAGAAATATTTGAAGTAGGCCACATGGAGGGAAGGAGCTGCCCGCAATACTGCTCTACCTGATGAACCTTACAAATTGAGTAAGGTCGAGGAAATCATGCACTTGAGCTCACTTGTGCCATTGTGAAGTTAAAGTGTTTACGGTTTAGACATGGACCTGCACCGACAAGGACAAGGACCGAGTGAAAGTTTTCCGAAGCCAGAGCTAAAGGGGGGCTGACATATACAAAGAGGCACCAAGCATTAGTACGTACGTAATACTCAGAGTCGTTGCGAAGTTTAGAGATGTGAGTCAAGGGGTGCCATCGCGTCCCTGCTGGCCAGTAGAGTTAGTTAATGGAGAGGTCGGATGTCAGAAGAACCCATGTGTGGTCCGAATCGACACAGTGCTTGCGCTCGCAGCATTCGTGTTCGAGTCCCCATCTTCAACTACATCATACGAATGGAAAACGGATTTCATCTACAATATGTCGACGGAGATTTCGTTGTCGTCGAGTAGTACGTGATGATCTGGCCCAGTTGCGTCGCAGAGTCGTCAAAGTTCTAGCGGCGGGCCGTCGCATGGACCCGTCCAATCGGAAGCCCCACTCGCCGTGCCAGTCAACTGGGTTGCAGGGCCACCCAAGGTCATTTTGTCACCTGACTTCCTTGACGAGCGACGAACCTGCGGTAAGATCTTCGTAATCTCCTTCAAACAGACCCTATATCTTCCCAATTTGTTGACCTAGGTCATCTCCAGAACCGCACGGTGCAAATCAGCCATGGTAGCATACAGAAACCAACAACGCCAAGGCGAAAGAGCTGACCTGATCGACCCAGCTTCTTTAGAGCGACAACCCAGCTACATGTTTTTTTTTCGCAGTTCGGGTCCGTAGGAAGTCCCGCCACACCCCGTCACGGGTGCTCAACTCTACGACAGCGGCTTGCCGATCAAGAAGAGAAGGCTTGGGCCCGACGCTTCAAGCAGCGTCGTGAGCTTCGAAAGTCGAGCGGATGCCAACGCAGCTAGGATGGCTCACTAAGGCTGCATAGCCTGATACTTTTTTCGGAATCCTGGACGATACAGAGCGCAAGATCCTTGCCGTTGATAGGTGGAACGAGCCGGAATGGGAGGGGGCCCGGGTTGTTGACAGCCACCGTCCTCGTGCCGAACAAAGAATGACGGCGAAGAAGGGGTGTGTCCATCGTCAGAAACAATCTATAGCAGCACGGAGTTGGGATTGTGGTTTGCGACAATTGAATGTACGGGGATATTCGGAATGATTGGCAATGTCTACGGCGCAGGGGTCGCAAGTCGGATACCTCCTTCTACAAGTCAGGTTACGCCGAGAGAATGGGCCTAGAGCCGGAACACATGGGAATCATTTACATCTCCCAAGGAGTTTTGCTCACATCCCTCCAGACATGGCGTGCGGCGCCGGACCGTCTTCCCGGAGACACAGCGGTCACCTTAATCGTCTCACGCTGGAGTTACTCGCTGTACAAAGTAGCTGCTGTGTCTAGCACGGCAGCAGCCACTTCATCCATGATATTCGCGACTAAACAGTCAGCGAAGAAGGACAATGTGAGGATCGAGTCCTTCGTTAGTCTCCACGCGGATCCTAGCTCCGATCCTGATACCACTGTCGTTGGTACCGTGTGACGCAAGAACAGGACCTGACAGGTCGCCCAGGAAGACGGTTCATGTCCCATTGCTGCCTACCATGGCCGGATCCTTGTCTTGGTCATATCGACACGATTGCCATTGTATTCGCCCATGAATACTCTTAACACAAATAGGAAATAGAAATGATGAGCTTTTGGCCCAACATTCCACTTCTAGTTGGCCTGAACTGAGAGCTTCCCTCTCTTCATCCCCACATCACGCTCAGTACCACAATACCATAGTAATGCTGCCCTTCACAGGTCTTGAGCCCAGGCGCAATTGAAATTAATGAAGCCATCACCAGATCACTAATTGCGCTTCTATTCCTGCTTTATCTCCATTGGGACGACTTTTCGGCACCTTCCACCAGTTAATTGTTCTCACTCGTGATCAACCGGCCGGGCCGCAATCCCGCCTTCTACTAGTACCCAGGGCATCCTTACCTTTACACATCTCTCGACGACGTAAGCACCTACCGTCAATGTACCGATCAACTCAGAGCTTGACCCGGCCACTTGTCGCAGTCCGATGATCATGATCTTCCTCTTTTCGGTCACTCTAAACGACATACCGCCCATCTGTTAATGATCATCCTGCGGTCCTATTCAATGGCAAGCGATGCACCGACGGATTGTCTAGTCATGGTTATCTAGAAGAGTGGCACAATTGGTAGCCCTACAAGCTTCATGTGCGGCAGTAGTGAGTCGTGTGGACACCAAGATGAGGACGATGTTCAGTGAGTCAGTAGAAGGACTCAGCCACGAAAGATTATCTGGCCTTGCTGATTTCATAGTTGAACTCACATTAGCATTCTTCACTTTACGGGGATGTATTTTGGAGAGCATTACGGACGAGACGAACAATTTTCTTCTGCATACGAGAACTCTATAACAACATAATTAAAACATCAAACGTTGCTTCTTCTTCACAGGTCCCTCGAAGTCTCCTCCTTCTCGGTCTTGACCTCGATCTTCTCCTCCTCCGCCTCCTTCACCTCTACCTTCACCCCACCACTCTCCATGTCTACATCCTCATCTCCTTCTCCAAAGAAGCCACACGGAGATGCAGAATGTTCTCTCTTGACGCCGTGACTGGTATCGTTCGCGGCTTTTTTGCCAGACATGGTCACTACCCTGCCACTCTGCCACAATAAAAGCCAGACCCGGTATTGTTCGGGCGCTATGCTCTTCAAGATCTCTACGGCGCTCCCCTCAGCACGTGCGGTGCCCTTCACGAGGTACTTTGGGGCTTTCGCCATTGTGAAATCCGATAGAGCTGGGAGATCCAGCTGAGGCATGGTGCCGAAGTCCTTCGGGTTCATCTTCCCGACAACGTTGATGTCGCCAATGATAACGAGACCGCACCGCTGCCTCGTCAGGAGGACGTTGAGTCGGTTCCGTTTCTTTGTGAACCCGGGACCAGGGTCGCGGGCCTTGGTGCCCATTACAACAAAAACAATGTCGGATTCCCGGCCCTGGTAACCGTCAATGGTCGATGCGGGACTCATCGTGGCGAGCTCGGGGTAGTGCTTCTGCGTCCATTTGTTCAAGAGTTCCACATTCGACTTGTAAGGCGACAGGATTACCACCTTCGAAGCGTCAATGGACTTCTTCCTGACAAGCTCGGATACCATGTTGAGGGCGGCGTGAACCTGATCGCGGGACTGTTTACCGCCGTGGACGTAATCGATTTTCACGACTGTATCGGGGCAGTGCACGAAAATTGGCGCGAACTTGCCCTCCGCGGGGGCGACCAATTCCGGGAAGCGCTCTCTAAAGAAGCTCTCCAGACGATGGCCACTTTCGAACTCCGGCAAGTCGATGTTGCAGCTGGGCGCGTATCTCACTGGGATGGATGGATAGATGACTTTACCGACGATGTCGAAAAGACCATTGGCCATACGAAGTTGAAGGCGCATACGGTAGACCAAATGTCCGGATGCCATCAAGAAGCCCTGGGCTGACACGTGTCCGTCGTTTGAGAACTGGTTGTAAACGTTGCCAGAGGCGTCGAGACAGTTATCATCAGTCAGCACAGTGGGTGGAAGCTGCTCCGTATCTCCGCCACACAGAAGAGGCAGCATCTTGTTGCCCCAAGCGGTCGCTAGGTCGCCCCGGTCCATGTTTGCTGCCTCATCAATGGCTACAGCTTGCGCTTGCAACCACCAACGATTGTACACCTCTTTGACAGAGACACACAGGGAAGGCGTGGTAGCCAGGATATCTGCCATAACGACAAGTTGATCCATGGCGGTGGACAAGACCTGATTATGGGATGGAGACGCGTGGGAATATCATCCCAGGTGATGTTGCCAGTGGCTACAGCTCGAAGGCTGGCCCAGTCCTGTCTGGTATCGATGTCGCGTTGAAGCTGGTGCAACGCCTCCTTGTCGTCTTTGTGAAGGTCTCGGACAGCAGGGGAACGCAAGAGCACCAAGAGCCAAAAGGCCACGGACAACTCGAGGCACCAGGGCACCGCGCGATCTTGAAAGCGAGGAGCAGCCATGTCTCCAAGACGAGGGTCTTCCAGCAGAGCTTTGAACGCGGCAAGTTCGTGGTCTCGCCTGTATCCACGCAGTACCATCCGATGGCGAGCTCGCGGCGTGCTCTCGGGAAGATTGTCGTTGTATCGCAGGCAAACTTGACGGGTTATCTTGTCGATGCGGACCGCAAAGTTGGTAACAGCCACATTGGCAGGCGCCGTACAGAAAACAGGACCGAGACTATACTCCATGGCGAGTGTGGTCTTGGCCATTTCAGTGGTCTTGCCATAGCCCGCGCCCTAGTAAAACATTTAGTTTTCTCTTCCTTTGGATAGAACAGGGAATATAACCTTCCTGTGATGATGGCGATTCCCAGGAGAACCTGGCGACAAAACGAGGGCCACCGTTCTCGATCCTCCTCCAGACTTACGCTCTTCAGAGCCTCCTCGTAGCGTTGATGTTTTCCGGGCAAAAATGAGACCTTGGGCAGACGACGGAGAGAAGGCGGGTTTCCGATGATTGTGGTGGACGCCACGGCCTCAGTGAGACCGGTCACACCTTCGCCTTCAACTGCAGGACCAGGCTGCATCATCCACTCCGCGTAGCCTTGCCCACGCATTGTGAGTTGGGCGAGATGACTACTTTCGGACTTCGGTTCATTCCACCTGTCGACGGCGATAATCTTGCGCTCTATATCGTCCAGGATTCCGAAAAAGTGGAGGGTTACGCAGCTCTAGTGCGCCATCCCAGCCGCATCGGCATCCGCTCGACTTTCGAAGCTCACGACGTTGCACCGACTGCCGGGCTCATGGGGGGGCGGAATCGACACGGAAAGAACAGCTTCGGACTGACCACGAGGGTGAGGCTCGAGAGTCTGGATGCCGCTTGCGTACGTCTTGAAGCTACATCGCCTACATATAGTCAGTGCATGAGGGTGAGATGGATTTTCTGAGCTGACTTACCAAGACCCAGAGGGCTTCTCGTCGTCCTCGTTCTCCCATACAAGCAGAGAAACTTTTTCGTCCAAGAGTCTCTTCCATGCAGGCCTGAACTGATCCATGAACTCCTTGGGAAAAGGAAGAATGACGAAGTAGGTACTCTCGCGATCAGGATTGTGAACGAAGTAGGCGCGCAGCTTGACAGCAGCGACAAGTTGAGCCTGCTGCCACAAAAACAAGTTGTCCTGCAGTAGCGATTGTGTTGTGACGGTCAACATGAAGTTGGCGTCCTTGAAACTGATGATAATGTTAGTATTGTATGAAGGCACTCAGTCCTATTTGTAGCCATACCTGTGGACGGAGTTGAATGCTCTCGTCCGCGGAAACTTAGCCAGAAGCTCGGCGCAGCGTTCGGGATCGAAGTTGTGAGCATCGCCGTAAGGGTAGTCGAAGGGTTGCGGGAGGTTCTCGAAACTGTATTTCTTCCGGATATGAGCCACTGTACCCTTTCTGATCATCAAAACATGGAAGGTTTTGCGGCGAATGAAGTCGGATAGAGTGACTCCATGAATAGAACCGGTTTCGTTCACGAACTTCTCAAGCTCGGGCTCCGAATCGTTGATGTAGGTCATACCCAAGCCTTCGATCGAGACTCTGTCGTTGTCATCCACATCGCATGAGAAGGTGATGATTGTCGCAGGGCCCCCTTGCAGCGCAGGGAATCTGCTGAGCAGTTCCGCAGACGCGTCCTCAAACGTTTGCGTCCACTTCTGGCGATGGAATACAATTCCAATCCGGAAATTCGGTGAAGGGTTGTACGTCTGTGACTGTGAGCCTAGATAGCCCAACAGGTTAGTGGCAGTGTCATTCAATGGCAATGATGGGATACTCACAATGGAAGCGTACACCGGAACCGCTCTCTTCATTATTTGTACCGACCGGGAACTGCAAGAAGAGTGTAAGGTGAGGATAGAATCCCTCATCGGTTGCCGTGCGAATCATAGCTTCAATGTTGGTGCCACTGTCATTGACGGCGCTTGCTGCCAGAATGGGACCTGACAAGCCGTCCATGATGACGCAGTTCTCGGTAACGGGACGGGCATAAGGCAATGCTTCGGCAGGCTTGTCCTCGCCAGACTTGCCCTTGGCACCCTTGGTCTTCTTGGAAGGCATGTTGACCTTGTTCAAATTCCAGGTTAGCTAATGCCTCGACAATTGTTTCCAAGGAGATGACTTACCAACTGCGAAACGTATGGTTCTCTCTCACCGACTACACCACCTACTATCTACTACCCAGGTCCCCGCCTTGGCCGTACCGACACGGACTCTTTCGAGTCGCCTCGTTTCTCAGAGAAAACTATTACTAGGTAGCAAATAGAGGTAGTCGGAGACTGACCCCTAAATTCTCTGAGCCCGGTTTGCTTCACAAAAGAGTCCGAAATCTGTAGACTGTTAGCTTTCCAATTGTATAAACACCCTGAAGTCCGAATTTAACTGTGTGGAGGCGATCGCGTAAAATTCGGGTGACCGGTCTGCGTTGAAGAGAGGAAAAGAAAAAAGGAAGAATAACTCGAGGTGAAGTTCAGCTCAGGTACCTAAGCACCTAAGGTAGGTAAGTTAGGCGGTCCGCTTCCGCATGGTGGGCCCTCGGGTCTCCACCTAAACTACCGACGTGTTAAGCCAATCAGAGACCTGAAATTTACCCACAATTTAGTAATTTGGTCAAACTTAGCCGCACCCTTACCATGGCAAGAGCTTTGCTGCACCTGCCGGGACTCCCGTATGCCTTGTTTGGCAAATTTTACAATCAGTAGGGCATACAGCTGCGCAAAGGGTGACCTTACCGCCTGCAGTTACATTCACTTGAGCTCGATGAAGGGCGGACAAGGCGTTGCAGTGGCTGATCAGCGTCTTGGAATCTGAAGGCGCAGCTCTTGGAGCGAATGCACTACGAGACCTATTTGATAGACTGACTGGGGAAACATCTTGTTTCTATCGTATTCAGTCGTCACCTTTCAAGGACACCAACTCGATATTGACCGTCACAACGCAGTCACTATTCCAGGAGAAACAGCATATATATGTGGTAATAAGCTTAACTTGTTACTACTATTACACAGGCTACTTCGTTATGGTACAAAAGTAGAGTAGCAAAAAGACATTTTACCAAAGAAGATATACGAAGTGAGTAGGTATGTGTGATCAACGTCTCTGTGCCTGGGATCTCTGTGCCTGGGATCTCTGTGTCTGGGATCTCTGTGCTTCGTGGCCCTGTCCTTTTATGTATTTTCCCGTAGCGTATTCTACTATGTTTAATATGTAAACTTTGACGTAATCTTGGGGTAGCGGCAAAGGCAAACTCTCCTTACTATGTGTCAAGGTAGTTAGCATCCGGAAGACGCTCTATGGTCGATATCGTGCAGAGATGACCTGAGTGCGACACCCTCCAGACGGATGGGGTTCCGCCTGGTACTATATCAATTTGGATGAGAAAAAAAAAGAGAAAGGGTATCTCTTGTTGAATGTCGCTGGCCGCGATGCATTATTCGTGATCGCGAAAGGTGCCAATAGACGAACACTAGTCCAGCCAGGTAAGCCTTGAACCAGGTGTCGATGTCCTGGCAAGCAATTTCAGCCCAGCAAACCCAGGTGGGCTTCCATACCTCGAGGAGAGACTACCAAGACAGCCATAATCAGGCCTTTCACTCATGAAGGCTAAACCCACCGCGGTTGGAGCCGTTACGGTAGGTATTGCCGGTTACGAATTTTGATAAGAGGTGCCCTGTGCCTTCCACATCAGGTTGACTTAGACAGTCCCTGTTTGATGAGTGGGTTCCATGTTCCGACTGCCGAAATATTTGACGAATCAGAGACCTGAAAAGAATCCACTGTACACAGCCCTGGTCCCTGCCCACTCCTACCTGGATGGTAAGTTAAGCCACAGTATGCGCCGAACTCTTCAGCCACAGGTAAACACCTTCTAACGTCCATCTCAACCACGGCGTCATAGCTAGGTAAGGTAAGATAGATTGGGCCTTACGAATGGATGTCTCCAAGTTCCAGAATCCGACGAGCCTCTAAGCTTCCAGCATAAAGTGCTTTCTGCTAGGCTCCTAACCATACAGTCGTTAAATTCTTAATCGGAAAGAATCCCATGCCCATGTCTCTTCCATATTTTATGTTCCCAAACATCAACTAGCTCCTTCCGCTTGGTCAGCGGAGGGACAAGTTCGCTGATAATATCTCACAGTGCCATATGTGGCACTACAGCACGCTAGCGCTTCCGTTCCTCTCTACGTATTGGCAGTTCTGATTCGTGTACCAAGACGCAAGCATACATCATCATTGACGATGCATGTGCCCAAAGGTACGTATGCCGCTGGTACTGGCCTCTTCAGATGGCAACCCAGTACGTGTCACATCATTAAGTCTCGCAACGCCACACGTGGCGCTGCCCACTTACTGCCGTACGAGACCGCTTACTACGAGACGACTACCCGCTTCGTACGGTATTTAGATACAACCCCTTAAGGATCCCTCACTTAGAAGAATCAAGCTACTTTCTACTATATATGTCTTCCACTTGGATTCTCGCTTTGTGCTATCAAGCCATGTAATCTATTCATATATCAATACTAGGAACTACTTCATTATGAGTGGTATGCTATCTCAAGGATTCTCTTCAGTTTTGAGGATAAAGTTGCGAACCTTTAAGTACCTAAGTCCATACCGTAGGCCATCTTTGAATCATAGCAGGTTTAGAGTAGAACACGGATTAATGAACAATGTTTGGACTGCTTAGGTATAATGGTCCCGCACCGCGAGTTCTTTGGGATACTTGTCTCTAAAGGGCCTGCGAACTGGGAGCTGCTGCACTCGTCAGGTGGTAATTAAGCCTCTCACGGTTGCCTAATTACAACAATAAAAGGGCGTGTGGCTCATTGGCAGAGCGTCTCGTTACCCCAGGCAGCGGCCTTCGGCCCTACTTGTACGGGAACGAGGAGGAGCGGGTTCAATTCCTATCTCGTCCACTTCTAGTTTTATTAGTCTCTCGTCAGAGTGGGTTCGATTCTGAACAGGGAAAATAGATGAAGAAAGGAGCAGTGTGCCCGGGTTATATAGGTATTCACACAGACTGATGTGGCTCCTATCTATTCTAGTAGATACCTATAAGGCCCAGGGTTTTTGAGCGTGCGGTGTATAGGAGCATTGTCGAACCAAAAACCCCCCTCCCAGACCCGCTTAGGTAGCTTAATAGCAGCGATTAGTCGAGCCTGCTACTACACGGATAGATTGCTATGGAGGAGCGACAATGTTGCAACGGTTAACATTGACTTGGCCTCCTTGGAACTAATAATCATGTCATCTCCCTCGGCAAAGTCTCCACTTACTGCTTTGTTATTATCCTATGGACTGCGAGATCACGTTAATATACAAATACGTGCTTCTTATGAGGGGAAGTATAAATGCGTATTGTTCTATTATAATTGGAACAGAATTCGTCTTAATTCCGACTAATACACCTAACCAACAAGCTTCCTCGTTGTAGAAAACTACAGGTGATGTACTGACGTTATCTCGCAGTCGATACTAGGATACCGTGGCTTCAAAGGCGGATCATAAAACTTCAAGGTAAGTCAAGTGAGGCTCCCGTCTCATCCTGCCACTGCTGTCCCCATGCTGCATCGTCCCTTTAGACATCATGATCGCTCTAATAAAAGTCAGAGGCTTACAACTCGACGTAGGATTATTGGCAATCGACGAGCAATCAAGAGAGGTGTAAATCCTCCCAGAAAAGACCAACAACGATAGGATAACTTATGGCAGGAGACTCGATGAGAAACTACCGACGGCGAACTAGGGATAAGGTACACGAAGATCGTCCTCAGTGATCGATGTCTCAGCGGTCCTCTATTTCTAGCTTATCGCTCGAGAATTGAACACAACGGTTCGGTCATCAAATCCTCACGAATGCAGGGTGTACTTCAGTAAAGATGTTTTTCCTGGTATCCATGCTTCAGCCTTCCATAACAATTAATGAATAGGATCCCACCTCCTCTCCAGCTCACTCGGCAGCCAACTTAATGTTGTACTCGAGCTCCTTGGCAGCCTTGGGGTCCCCTTTTCTCTCAATAAACTTCACCGTCAGACCATCCTTCACCGCAAACACAGAGTCGTCATCCAAGTACTTTGAGTCCTCGTCAAAAATTTGTGTTGTTACCGACTTGAAGCCTTCTGATTTGACCTAGAGAGTTATTAGTGACTGTGAAGGTAAATGCGCATTCGAGCTGGTCACTTACAATGAGATGAATGTGAGCAGGTCTGAAGTGGTGGCGGTGGAGCAGATCCAAAAGCTTTCCAGCGGGGCCATCACCCGGTACCTGAGAGACGTCAATACACGAAACAAGTTCATTGATGCATCAAGTGAGAACCTACTGGGTAAGGCGTGGGCCGCAGGCAGTAAAATCCATAGCGTCCCTCCGAATCCGTCTTGAAGACTCCACGGAGATTGTGCTCGGGCTGATCGGCATCTTGCTGCTCGTACAGACCTGTGGTGCAACATTAGACGACATGTGCAAAAAGCTTCGCCTGATCTTCGAAACTGACCGTTTGTGGATGCTTGCCAGACATCGACTGAGGCATTTGCCAGCGGCTTGCCAGTGTTGGAGCATGTTACTTGGCCGTACATGAAGGCGAGCTCGCCGTCCTCGGGGCACTTGACGGCGATTGTGCTGCCGTTGGGGCGGACAGGGGTGTCGGCCCGCCAGAAGGGGCCGAGAATGGCTGTTGCTGTGCCTGGTTGGCCGTTCTTTGTGGCCACTCTGTTGGTGATATCGTCGACGAGCCTGAACATCTTATTAGTTTCATCGTGGATTGCGTCGCTCATCATGAAAACTCACGATTCGAGTCCGAGAACATCGCAAAGCAGCTGGCCCTCGTTGCGTCGGTCATTTGACATTTGTCCCGCCCAGTTAATCATGTTGACACCCATCATCCACTCATCCGTTGTAAGGTCGACCTCGCGAGCAAAGTCGTGGATGTGCTGGATGAATGAGGTGAGAATCTCACGGAGTCTGGGGTTCGTCTCTGATCCCATGGAGGCGATGACCTGCTTGGTGAAGTCTTGGCCGAGGCCCTGGTACTGGCCGTCTCCGTTCTGTAATGAGCCCATGATGATGAGATGTGAATGTGTGTTGGGTAATGAATTTCTGGTTAACTCTAGGAAATATCGCCGATGATGTAGATAATGGATTCTCGGTGAGACGACGTGATCTTGAATAGATGAGCTAACTTCAACTACCCCGACTGCCAAAAGCGTCCCGCAGTTCGATGGAGGATACATACATACATAGTTTATTACGCCCCGGCTAAGCTGTTTAGGGCTCGCATGATTATCTACATATTCTCCACATTCGTTCATATCCTTGCCTCCCAGAAGCCCATACAAGTCTTGTTCGTCTCCGTATGTGTCTTTTTTAGTTTTGCATGTCGATGCTGCGGTTGCTCGTGGGGTTAGTAGCAGGCCATCTCGGAGTTGTTTCTCAAAGTGTTCGACGTCCTATCGTCGGCGGCCGAAGCTAGTCCTGCTGTCGATGGCACGAGGATGCGTGGGGGTGTCTCCGGTTAATTTGATGATGTTAGTTGCGTGTGGTTTCGCTGCTGGCTGATCTGTGCATCTAGCCTCTCCGTGCTCATGGCGAACTTGATCGTCTCTTTGACAACGTCTACGCTTGGCGACCAATCCTTAGGGTCGGACGCGCGCTTTCCTCCCAGGAAGTATGACAGATTTCCTCTCCGCGTTTCCGTCTGTTGGAGCATCCGAGTCCGCTGTGCCGTCCACTGTGTGCATCGAAAGAGAAAATGCTCTACCGTTTCTGCAGATTGCCCGCAAGCGCATAGCGCCGCGGCGGTTGCGCCGATCTGGTAGAGGTACCAGTTCAGCCTTGCCATTCCGGTGCGTAGTTGCGCTAGAATGCTGGCTTCTTTCCAGGCCAGTCCGTCATACAGCTTGCGTGTGTGGTTTCCCGGCAGGGCTATGTCGATCTTCTTCGAATATGCTCCTACGTTGTCGGGCAAGGCTCCGTGCTTCTGTCGCACGCTCTGTAAAGCGATCCTAAGTGCCGTCGAGTAGGCTCTGGCCGGCCGTTTTTGTGGTGTCTTGTTTACTTGGGTACTTTCCTTTGCTGCTGCTTTGGCCGCTTGCGCCAGGTCTGACTCTATCGATGATGGAAGCCAGAAGAGAGTGACTCTGTTGCCTCGTCTCTGCAGAGCTTGCACGCTGGCATATAGTTGTCGGATCTCTTGTTGGCCTGACTGCTGCCGCGGGTTGTGCATCACCAACACTGCCGCTTTGTTGCGGGTGAAGACGTGGATGGCCCGGTACTCGAGTCTCTCTGGGAGAGACTTGACCGCTTCTGCCAGTGCCGCTAGCTCTGCTACATACGGGTTCTGCTCCGTTCTCTGACCGAACGTACGCGAGGCCGTCACGACGCCACCGCCCCCTCTGAAAGATGCGGGCAGCGTCGTCGCCGTTCCAAAGCCCACAACCTCGTTCCTTGCTGAGCTCCCTGTCGCTATCCTCACTGCCCATCCAGACCGGATTGCCTCAGAGGCCTTGACCGTGTCGTCGTCGACTACTGTATCAATACGACGTTCCCAAGGAGCGATCGAATACCCTTCGATAGTCTCCAGCTTGTCAAGGGGTAGGTCGCGATAGGCCTCCGCCATCAACTGGAAGGGTGACGGAAACCGTCTAAAGGCCACCGCCCGCAGACGTCGAATCGATGGAGGATACTTATTCCCAATCACAGCGTGTGCATTACCCGCCATTGCTTTGTAATTGCACGTGCGCTGTTGCTGGGCGGGTACCACCGGCGCTGGGCTTCTACGCACGCTCCCGGAAACCGCCCCGGGTCCGGGAAACACACGCAACTCTCTTTTCGGGTACGGGGGAGAGATCCGACGCGAGGGGGTGGTCTGCCGAGACTCATAAACATACTGATGGAACAAAGGACATGCCATATTTGCACTCATTATGGACCTGTTCCGGTCGGCTTGACCCCTCTACACCGGGGACCCCGCAGTTTGATGGCTCCAGGCTTCGTTTTGGCGGAGTCACGCGCGCGGGAAGGATCACTGGCTTCGGCATCGGGTTGTGAGATGTGACTCTGCTGTGCCCCTAATGCCGTGCGGATTAATCCAATGATACGACTATCATCAGATGTACTGCTGAGTAATATTTCCTCATAGTAGAAGTGGGATACAGACCCCCATCAGCTCAAGATGTGTCGGTGAGGCCTAGTTTCACGGTCTCTAGACGCTGGGTTTATGGCTCAATTCGCGTGGTTCAGCTCTGTAACGAGCGCGGGAGGAATAGATTGAAAGTTCGGAGCAGAATTGGTAGTTACTGGGAGTCATTATTCGAATATCTAGATGAAGTCTTATTCTATCTTGAAATTAATTCACGCCTTCGCAACCCCGTTTGTCTGCGCAACGATCCGGTGATCCTCCTCCGGGCCAAAATCCCAGCTCGCCTCATCTGAGCCGTTCGGCCTGCTAGCCCTCTTGAACCCAATCTCAACGCCCTCAATCTCGACCACCGGGCTCACAGCCTCAACCTCTGCCTTGTAGCGCCTCGCGTACCACTTCTCGCGAACGTTGGGTGAGCTGAACAGTTCCGGCGCATACCCCTTCATTGCCTTAAGCGCCGTGCCAGAAATCTGATCGACGCTGTGACTGTGCCGCAACGCTAGGAAATCGTTGCCTGCGAGCTTGCGCAGTTCCTTCTGGACGGCCTCTGGGTACTTTCCGGCCTTGATGAGAAGGAGGTCATACTGCAACAGCGATGCCTTGCCGTGCCACGAACCACCCTGCGTCGCTCTGTTGTAGAGACCCGTGAGAGCGGCGATGGCGCCCATGCATCCCGTTCCGTAGTCGGAAATGGGGAACGGAGGGACGACAGGCTCGTCGAGCCCCATGAACTGACCCTGCGCCCACGCCACACCACTCACCTACAACCCAGTCAGTAATTGGGTTAAAAAAAAAAAGATATGTTGACTTACACAATCAGCAATTTGCTGCCAGCCGGGCCGCTGGCACCACTCCCCTTGGTATCCAAAGCAGTTCTCATTCACGTATACGAACCCCTTGCCGCGCTCTTTGGCCAATTTCGTCAACGCAGTCGCGCCGTACCCCAGCTTCTCCAGGGCACCAGGGCGGTACCCATCCAGAACGACATCCGCCTCGGCCAGCAGCGTCTCAAAGTGCTTTCTCCCCTCCTCAGTCTTCAGGTCGAGATCCGCGGCATGCTTGCCCATGTTGCCATCAACCTGGAAAAACGGGACATCGCTGAGGTTCGGGCTGGTAATCTTTAGAACATCCGCGCCGTATTCTGCGAGGATGCGTCCTATGACGGGTCCTGCGATGATGCGGCACAGCTCGAGCACCTTGACACCCGACAGTACCCGCTTGTCAGATGTAGATAGCAAAGGTGCTGGTGGTGTTGAAGTCTCAAGACTGTCCACGCTCCACGGAGGAAGTGTGGTATTCGTTTTGCCCTGCAGGTTGATTAACAATCATATCGCAAAGATCATGAATGAGACTTACATGAGGCGTCTTGATAAAATCCTCATGCTTGAGAACAGGCACTCCAGCTTGGCGCTTATCGGCGTTCATGCGCTCAAGCTCATCGACCGAAAATTGCTTCACGTGAGACTCTATCGCCTCAACAATAGCACTGTGGTCTTTCAAGTCTGGCCTAAACGGCTCAAGGCCGATCATACCGAGCGTTGTCGATGCCTCAAGAGATCCATGAATGTGGTAGTACTCGCCCGGCTGCTTTGTCTCATACAAATTTGCCGACATGCGGCGATAAGGATCTGACTGTGCCTGGAGCAAATCCGTATCTAAGTGCACAAGTCAGAAAACTTCATGTTGCTTTCAAAATCGCACCAAGATAGCTCACCTTTTAAAAATTGCTTCACCTCTTTATCGAGTTTGCCATATCCTCCAACAGTCGCCAAATACGCCTGAATCAGGAACGCGGTGCTCTTCTCCAAGCTCACAGACACCTTCTTGCCGGAGGCGACGCCATCCTTGGTGGCTGCAAGGGCCCCTGCTACACCACCTTCAATAGCCTTCAGAGCTGAGGCCAACTCCGTTTCTTTGAAAGGGATCGGGAAATAGGGCAGGTCGCGGGTCGCCGAAAACTGCACTGCCTTTGAGATCTTTTCTGCCTCTGCTGGTATCTGGACAGAACTCAGGACGAGATCCAAGATTTGTTTCGTCTCAGCGACGGATGAGTATTTTGAGTCCGTCATAGTTGCTCGCTTTCTATTGTGAAAACAAGGCCGTTCAAAATGATTCTCAGTTGGCTCGCGCGTATAAAGCCCGGGTTGAGTAAAGAGTAGTACAGAGAGTACAGAGTAACCAAACCGTTGAGACTACTGTTGATTGTGTGCACCTTCCAGAGTTACGATAATCGTCAATCACGAAAAAGGATCATTATTTCTTCCGTCTTTCAGCTCTGCGATTGCGCATCGTGCCCATATCCGCTCTGCATTTCCCGTAGCTCTCGATCAGACTCCCCGATCCGATTCGGCGATTCGCGAGAGGTCGGAAGCAGCTGCGTTAGAGCAATGGACAACGAAACGTCGGACCCGCATCGGGAATCGGGCGGAAGGGTACATGTGTGCTGTCGCGGTGTCCAGCAATAGCTACTCTAGAACCACTTTCAACAACCCCGGCTTCCGATGGCTTCGGAAATAGGCACCACTACTGCGGGCCTAGCTTGGGGGGCTGGCAAGTCAGGTGGCGCTTCCTGGGGCCGCGCTCAGGCTTGGGACAATGGAATGGAACCGTTTCCTCTCGGTCTTGGGGCGATCGTCGGATCAGGGCCTCGGTAGGTTTGAAGTCATGTCGGGTAAGGGACTAGCTTTGAGTATCCTATTGGTTAAAGATAGGTGCGTTTGACATTACAGTTTAATTGAAATGGTGTCCTCGGAAGGTAGCACTTATGCTAGTCGCTTTTGGCTTTTAGTCAGTTGTTTCCAAGCCAGTTTCGCTGTCATATTTCTATGCTGGCCCTCTCTCGGTGTTACCAGCAGTGTCTTCCTTGCAGAGCTGACGCGGTAACGCAACGGTGGAGTGTAGTGACGACGATCAAGTCCGCATTGGATGTCAATTGCATCGTCTTCGAGTCTTTGGAGTGAAGGCATGAGTTGAATAATAGCTCAAAATGCCGTCGGACTTGTAAGCGGTGGATATGTCGCGTGGGTTGACGGAACGGATGCGGAACACTGTTGGATGCGGAGCCAAGCGGTTGACGATCCAACCCAGCAACCCGTTTCTTCAAGCAACCAGCCACAGCCAATGGAAGTAACTGCAGAAGTAAGACCTCGACCATTATTGGCTGCGACACCGTGGGACTGACGACTCTTGAGTTCTGACTTGGTCCCCATTTCTCTTTGAACCTCCAAAAACCTCGGCATCCTTTGAGGCGTGGGAGGGTTGAACTACGCCGCGGCGGGCAGCAAAATCTGGGGAAACATTTGTGAGCTAGGACCCCCCTGGAAAAGTGTTCCCCCGCAAAAGAAGCGAAAGGGCGCGCGCGCGCAAGCAAAGGGGGAAAGGGAAAGCCAAGAGCTCTGCCCCGGACCATCCTTTGCCTCAGTTGGCCGCCGCCGCCGCAGTACTGTCTGGCCCCCCCAGCCTCGAGGTTCAACGTCTCCTATCTTGTCACGCACTCGTCTCTAGTTGAATTGAGACAGCTTTGAGGTTGTCCCTTGTTTTTTTTCATATCGTATCCTCAATCAGACTGAATGTCGAAGGCGAGCAAACGATGCCTACGAAAAGAGTCCGTCAGAGCGAGCGGCGTAGATGCGTCAAGGCTTGCGGGAATTGCAAGCGGCGCAAGGAACGCTGCGATGGCCAACAACCCTGTCGGAGGTGCGTGATCCGCAGAGTCGAAGCCGACTGCACCTTCATCGGCCCGCCGACGAACTTTGCCGCTGCGGAGGACTCGTCATCCGTGAGAAGTCCTGATCGCCAGCAGGTTCATGTTCCTCCTGCTCCTCCTCCTCACCGAGGGAGTCCTCCCGGTCACGGTCAGGATCTCTTCAGCTCTTATGGGCCGACTGCCTCCTTTCATGAAGCTGTCATTTCACCGAGTCATCACCATCAGCACCGGCGCGCGTCGTCGTCAATCAGCCACCTCTCACAAAGCACCGCGGTACCAAAGGTATCGCGACTCATCGCAGATGGCAAGGGCCGGTTCATGTTCATTGGCGATGCCGCCAATCTGTCCTTCTTAAAGGTGATACGCCGGCTGGTGCGCGATCGCGTCGGCCTGTGCCCCTTCACTGATGATCCCTTGCGGCATATCATGGTCGAGGCGACTCCTGAAGGTCGCCCGAAATGGATCATCACGAACCCCGCCGATATCCCCTCCAAGCCTAGCACTGAGCAGGCAAGATATCTGCTGCGGTGGTATCTCCGTGCAACAAACTGTATTCTCGATGTTTTCAATGAGTCTGAAATCCTCAAGGACCTCGAACATTGGCTGCGTGGAGAGCCCACGAGTCAAGATGAAGAGGCCATGAACTGCATCTTCTTTCTGATATTCGGCATTGGAGCACAGCGATGCCCGGATGATCGGGATACCGACGCAGAGAAGTACTTCAACTATGGTCGATTCTTAGCAGTCTCGTATGCCATGGAGAACCCAACAAACAACACGGTGCGCAGTTACATTCTCATCACCGTCTACCTCCTCGGTGCATCGCGACGCAACTCAGCGTTCATGCACCTGGGCGTCGCTACCCGTGCCGCCTACGCGCTGGGGATTCACCGGCGAGACGTCCCGGCGCTATTCTCAACACAAGAGCAAGACACCCGGGATCGACTGTGGAAAGCCCTCCGGGTTCTGGATCTATTCTTGGCCGCCTCATTGGGCCGCCCGTTGGCGACTTCCGAGACCCGAGATACATCAGCAAGCGAGAACTACTCTGCCTCACTGGATCTCTGCGCGATCTTCGAGTCGATCTTGAACGACGTCTACGCCAAGCGTATGGTGTCTACAGAAACACTTGAGCGTATCAGCGAACAGCATCGTCGATGGGCCGCGAAGTTCAGTGATGGTCTCGCGGCTGACGGGATGAAGCCCAGCAAGTATGTTGACGCCGATGATGGCGAGAGGTATCCAAACATAGGGCTTTACCACATGAAAGAAGCATACTACTGGAGCATCATGCTCTTATCACGGCCTTTTCTCATCGACTTTGTCTCGAGAAACATTGCCCGCACCCGGACGACATCTATGTGGGCCGAGGAAACGCCTTTGTCATCGCCGTCTGACCAACTGTTGGTCCATGCCTGCGTAGACTCTGCAATACGGACAATCGACCTCTTGTCAACTTTGATACCGGACAAAAACGTAGCCAAACGACATCCCTTCGTCATTAACTCTGTATTTGTCTCCGCCCTGGTCCTTGGCCTGGCAGTCTTTGGTGATCTTGACAGCACATTCCCGTTAGACCACGGCTTGAACGACGCGCAAGCGCTGCTCAAGAAGTTCAGCAAGCACGATCCTGTTGCTAGCAGAGAGCTCACCATCGTCGAGCATCTTCAGAGCGCATGCGTCCTCTACCGAGAACGACGTGCACGTCGCAAGATGGAGTGCCAGGGGATGCTCATCGGCGAGCTCTTTGGGAGCGTCCACGAAGGCGGCCCGTTGTCGACGGAAGCTTCCAAGCTCGGCTCGAACGCTGTTCACCGAGACATTCGATACTTTGGCAACCATCGACACTTGAGCACGTCAGAAGCGGGGGAGATCAGTAGCCTGGACCACAGTGTCTCGCTGACGACCGGGAGCACTGATGGGCCTCAAATGTTGGGTAGCGAAACTGGTCGAGGAACAAACGTGATCCAGGCACTTACTCCGTCAACCGATATTCTGCTCCCAATGTCACCACGGACGCTGCTTTTTGATTCTTATGGGCAAGATATGCCTTTCTTTCCGACTATGGATGCGACCATGGCTCACCTGGGCTACACGGATGAGATGATGCTTGCTGATACAGGGACTCTAATGGAACCGCCGTGTTAGCCATGGAGGGACGACACGTGTTTGGAAATAGACTTTGTACGACTTATTAGCGACTAAATGACGAGAAATACCAAGCGATGAAACACAAACATCTGTCTGCAATCAGACAGATGGGACCTGCATGTGACGATATATCGCTTAAGCCCTCAATTTCACCCAAGCAGTGTCAAGCTTAGCGAATCACAGATGTAGCGCTCACGAGAAGTGGAATGAACGAGTTACGATACTTCATAGAATCGATTAGATCTAGGTCTCCTCCAAACAGAGAGCAGAGCTTCCGTTCCTGCGATATACTGCAGCCCAAGTTCGAGACCTTGCATATTGCTTGCATGATGTATTTACAACAAAACCTAAAGAACCCCACCCGTGTGACCTCAGAAAATCTCACCAGCTGATCTCCTACAAGCAGCAATGACCTCATCCGGCTTGCTCAAGAACGGAGAGTGACTCGCTTGCATCGTCTCAACGGCCACATCCACACCAGCGGTGTCAATCATTTGTTGTTGGCCTTGATGAGGAATCGCGTTGTCAAGTTCGCACTTGATGTATGTGACTGGTATATCCTTGTACGCAGGGTACGTGAGCTTGCTGTAGAATGTCTGGTAGCTGTGGTGCTTGAGTCCTGCGATCGCCTCCTTGATGGCGGCTTCGTCCATGTCGTTGTAGAAAATCTCTTCTGGGCGTGCGGGGTCGACCTTTGTCTTGTCGTCGGACACGATGAACCAAGGAAGTGGGTTGCCTTGAAGCATGTCGAAAAGTGAGACTCCTGGAGGCATTTTGTTAGTCACATGATCCTGTCAATATCTTTGGGTCAAAACTTACCTTCTGGAACCATGAAGGCCGCGCAGAACACTAGTCTCACAACGCCACCAGTCTTGCCCTCCTTTTCCCGAGCTGCCTTGCCCAGTCCACGGCAAGCTTCGCAGCCTACGATACCGCCATAGCTATGCATGAAGAGCACGACGTCTTCGCCAGCATCTACACTCTTCTCAATCTCTTGTCGAATGGCCGCGACATCAGGCTGGAAATCTGACAGCGGAGGCTCCGCACCATAGCACGGGAGCTGAACAGACTTGGTGGGATACCCGAGAGCCTCGAGCTTCGAAGTCACCGGCTCGAACTTGGTCGCGCAGTGCCATGCGCCGGGAACGAAGATGAAGGTAGACTTGGTGGCAGTCATTTTTATCGCGATAACGTCTGATGTTTCCTTAGCCTCGAATGAGATGTAGTGGTAAACTGTCTTGGTCGGTTGACAGAAGCAGTGGGACCATTTGAATCACTTTTAAACTCCTTCCCCACGGGGGAAGATCTCAACTCTGCGAGATGAGATCCAGGGACCAGAAGCAAATTACCCCAGACCAACGGCATGATGACTTCGGACCGGAGTCCGGGGTAGAGGCAGCATGACCTTGTTATTTGGTACTATTTTGGACACTAAAACGCGTTGGCAGCTGTGGCGCCTGGGTTGGACGGTGTTAGTGCTCAGTGGCTATGAGCTCCCAGCCCCCAATGAGGGGATCTAGACTGCACAACAACGACTTTAAAGTTTCGGAGATTCACATTATTGAATGAAAGTGAAATATGCGATCTACAATTCGTTCCCCTCGTTTTCCCCTCTTCAGCGCTGAGATGATACTCCGCAGTCCACCTATGCACATGTGGCACACTTGCGCCGCCACCCGAAGCTGGTCTTCGGCACCTGGTCCATTGTTTGATGCCCCATTCCCGATGTCTAAAACCCGTGATCCGATAGGCTACATCCGTACCTGGGGGGGACTTTGAGCTGTTGGGAACTTTCAGCCGAATTGAATTTCCCCATCCGATGGGCCACCGATGCAGTGCTTCCGTGGTCGTTCGGGCACTTCGGCACTGGCGTAACGTGGGTTGCGGCCGGGGTCCGGGGGGAACGGGGTCAGCCAGAATCATCGAGAGCGTCATAGGTCCCAGCCGAGCAGCCGGTCTAGGAAGTAAGGGGCAGTTAGCCTTGGTAATTTGTCTGCTTTGTCGGCCCTTATTTCCTAGCACCAGTGATATATCTTTGCGTATTTCTTCATCGCTGTGATCTACGTGCAAGTCTGCAGACTAAAGACGGAGATCTGTTTCGTAAAGCTACAAGAAGTCGTTTCACGTAGTCTGAACTGCCCACCACCTCGAATCTCCACATTTAGACTTTGCCCTTTGTTATCACAAGAATTTTTCTGCCTCCATCGACATGGCACCACCAGAAGAGTTTTGCCAGACGCCAAACAAGCCCTTCAATGTGGCTGTTGTGGGTGGTGGTATTGCGGGCTTGACCTTGACCCTTCAACTCCTCCAAAACAGAATACCGACGACGCTATACGAACAGGCGCCAAAGTTCGGTGAGATCGGTGCAGGCGTGTCTTTCGGCCCCAATGCGCTAAGGGCTATGTCCTTGATCTCACCCCACGTGCGGCAAGCTTTCGAGAACCAGGCGACACACAACGAATCAGAAGACCACCAGGACGTATGGTTCGACTTCAGGTACGGCCAGACTTGTAACGACAAGAACAAAGAGGGAGACCTGATCTATCGGCAAAAATGTGAGACCGGCCAGACTGGTATTCACAGGGCACACTTCTTGGACGAGTTGGTCAAATTACTGCCCGACGGAGTTGCCGTATTCGGCAAGAGGGCAGAAAAGTACGAAGATGACGGGAAAAGCGTGCTTCTCACTTTCCAAGATGGCACAACCGCTCGCCACGATGCGGTTATCGCCTGTGACGGGATCAAGTCTAGATTGAGGAGTTTGATGCTCGGAGAGGATCACCCGGCATCCAAGGCTGTCTTCTCTGGGAAGTATGCTTACCGAGGTCTTATTCCCATGGAGGAGGCAGAGAAGCTTCTGGGCGAGGAACTAGCAAAGAATGCTCAGATGTACTTTGGCAGAAACGGCCACATCTTGACCTTTTCTGTCGCAAAGGGTAAAATTATGAACGGTAAGCCAAATATTCCACAGCTCTTCATCCTACCGACAACGTCTAATCAGGAATATAGTGGTGGCCTTCGCCAGTGCTAAAGAGTGGAAGTCAGACAAGTGGGTTGTTTCAGTAGAGAAGGAGGACATGATCCGCGACTTCGAAGGCTGGGGCGAGAAGTCTAGACAAATCATCCAGCTTATGCAGAAGCCAGACGTGTGGGCACTATTTGAGCACCCGCCCAGTCCGACGTACTTCGAGGGGCGACTCTGCCTACTGGGAGACGCCGCCCACGCATCCACGCCTCACAAGGGATCTGGTGCGGGCATGGCGATTGAAGATGCGTATATCCTCGGTAACCTCCTGGGCTCCATCTCTGATGCCAGCCAAATCGAGGCAGCATTCTCGACGTATGACAAGACGCGAAGAGAGAGATCTCAGCAACTCGTTGTCGACAGCCACGAGACTGGTCAGCTGTACGATTTGGAGCTAAGCGAGGACTCTGAGTGGGTTGCCGACAATCTGTCAAAGCGAATGGAGTGGATTTGGAAGTATGACTTGACTGATGAGTTGGAGAGAGGGAAGAGAGAGTTGACGAAGGAAGCGTCGGCTGAGACGAGGGCGCAGCTTTAAGCATTGCATGCACGTGGGTTCAGGGGTAAAGCTTCGTTAGCGAGTAAGAAAAAAATGTATTTATCGGCTATCCCACCGTCCATATTGTTTTTGATCACAATGCGTAAGTTATAGCTAATTAGAGGTTTCTGTTGAATTACAACTATCCGAGAAGGAAGTATTTGGCAGAATCTTCCTTCAGTTACTACCATGGCCCTACTCTTCAATCGGTCGTTCTCCCGCAAGCAATGTCTCCTGGATTCTTTGAGATGGCAGCCATCTTTCAGCGGGGATGAACCACCAAGAAAGAATGGCGAAGATTGTGACAATGCCCATAATGACAGGAGCATAGTTGAGTGTCGATGCCTCAACCGGAAAGGCATAGGGTGAGAATAGTACAGCGACGACCCAGCCGTTCCACAAGACAGCAATTGCCTGGAAAGGCTTGCTCAAGCGTCCCAGACTCCAAGCAGGCTTCGGGAACTGCTTCGGGGTCAGGAAAAGGCGACAGAGGCAGATCAGACCATAAGCCGCGGCTGAAGGAACGCCCGCAGCTGAGACAAGGGAAGTAAAGGCCACCGATGACGGAAGAATCGTGCAGGTGATGACTGAGGCCACGCCCCAGACAACCAAGACGGCGTTTCTGGGTTGGCCATCGACGACTTTGGCAACCCACGGAGACCAGGGGAGAACTCCGTCGCGTGCTACGGCGAAGACCAGACGCGATGCGGCCAGAATTGCAATCGCAGTGTTCTAAGCGGCCACGGTCAGTATTCAATAGATACGGGGACAAGCTACGATTGGAAAGGCAAAGATGACTTACAAACCATAGTGCGACAATGCAAACAATGTTCATGAAAATGTGCCCTCCCTCTCCGAGGATGGCTGCATACAATGGTACAAAGGGCTGAGCGCCGCCAAAAGAGAACAGGGTATCCGCATCAGGCTGTGTCGAATTTTGTTAGTAGGGCCGCGGCACTACATTTCAAGGAAGCATCGACTTACAACGCAGAACAAGAACAATATCACGACAACGAAGCCACCGATCCCGCTGACCACGGTGCTCCAAAAGATACCGCGAGCGGCAGCGACGCTTGCATTCTTGGTCTCCTCCGCAACGTGACCCGACGCATCGAATCCGATGAGGATACCGGCAGTAGCAAGATACGAGAGACACCAGTTCCAACCCGCCGGAGCGCCTGTTCCGTTGTAGGTGGTCATGAAAGCATCATGAGCGGATCGGAAGCCGTACTCGCTCTTGCTCGTCGCGACCGGTAGCCAGACCATATTTAGAACAAAGTCCAGCAAGACGAACCCGGTTGACAGGTAGAAGATCCATTTAAAGTAGCGGGCTGGCTTTTGTTAGCTGATTAGTGAAGACATGTAGGAGTGTGGGTGGTCTCACGAGGCAAAAGGTTCCAGATGGCAGCCAAAGCCAGCATGACCTCTGTAGTGATCCATTGAACAGCCCGGAATTTGACGCTCGAGGAATCAGAAGGAAAGTCGAGATTGAAGACAACAATCTCCTGTTACAAATTTAGGGACTGTTACGTGAAGATCGACTCCTTGTGCCATCACTCACCGAAAGCATGTAGTTGACAGCGGCTTGTGTGTTGCCTGAGAGGGGTCAGTGGCTCAACTTTCGCACATGGATATGATACCTCAGAAAGTACTGTCAACTTACTTGCACAGAAAGTCGTCCAGGCCGTGGTACTCCACCATGCAACGATGAAGCCGAAGAATCTGCCAAACCGGGGCCCGCCAGCTTCAGCAGCCCATAGGTAGATGGATCCCGCCAAGGGCAGAGAAGAGCAGATCTCCGCAATGACTGCGGCGGTGATGAAGGTAAAGACACAAGTCACGATGAAACTCGTCCTATCTAAATGTTAGGCGTTGGAAATACACACCGCTGAGTACAGACACAAGAACCTACCAGTAAGCCAGGTTGCCTCCAGCAGCAATGCCAGTAGAGAACGTCACACGGACTCCACCAATGAAGTAGAGAGCAGCTGAACGAAGTCAGAAATAACAAAGAGAACCAGCAGACTGGATGCGTCGTACCGAAAGTTGTCGCAAAGTTGTGAAACGTATTGAATGTCCGGTGCAGCACCTTCAAGAGTGAGTTATTTGTGTGAAATGGGCTGACTTTTGAGATTATCTGCTCACCGGCTTGTAGCCTAGGTTTTCCTGCAATTCTGCGGTTAGCTGACCGAAATGCAATGCTTTCACGCTGTAGATTGCTCACCAAGACCCGGGCATCCTTTGTAGACTCATCTTCCACATCGCTCTGGAAGGTATTCACGTTTTTGGCGGCGCCTTCGTCTTGGCGCTCAGTCGCAGCCATGTTGATGATGTTCTCGATGTTGGTCCAAGCTGAGCGAATTAGCGACGTCGGAGCGAACAAATGCGGATGGAGGGGACGTCGTCTTATGGGAGATGGAGTATTCGGGCCGCCCAGGGGCCGTTGAAAAATCTAATTAGTGGGACGGAAATGTTCGGCTTTTGCGTGTGAAGAAAAACAAATCTTCCAATCATTGCCGCATGTGCCAATAGCTGACTTTCTTAGTCGCGTGATGTGGGACTGGATGACGGCATCGGTAAGTCGTACGAAATAGCCTTAGCAGCAACTTGGTGACACCAAACGAGATGAGTCTTTTAACAGGTCGATGAACAGGTTGTTCGCCGTTAGTTGTTGTATAATGTGTTGTTTGGGATGACATTACACCTAAACATGTGGCTTCAACTCCTCTGCTTACTTGACGATGCAGCTCCCAGCACTAATACAGCACACAACTAGGCGCTGAGTAAGTCACATCAAGCCAGCTTTGAGAAATGTTGAGACACAACCATAACCATCCACACGCTGAGGCACTAACCTTTTCTACCTATGATAACGATGGCATCTCTTTCTTAAGTTACCGTTTCTTCCTTTCTTTCCTTCGGAAGTTGAGATTGCATTGGGATGTCGCCGCGCTCCGCGTGCCCCCTGCCAATCAGGTCAACGTAAGCAACCCCGGGTTGACTGCCAGTTGGGGGATGGTACGATAGATTTCGGGCATCAGGTCCATCACGCAATCGGCACTCAAAGAACGTGATGGATCGTAGGAAACGATCAGTCTTGAGTAGTTCTTCGACGTTCTAGATGCTCTGGGTTCAGTGTTCACCGTAGATATGAAATTGAGAAAATTGAGTGAACTTCATCGGCGCCGACATCCTGTGGCCCTTTTTTCTTGGAAGTCTGGGGAAATTGAAGCTTCTGTGTCAAGATGGCGATCCTTATCCTGACTTCGTTAGTTGCTTTATGCGTTGTAGTGGTGACAGTTTTCAAGGTACTCATCATCTCGAAGAGCTCGAATCCTCGATGTAACAATTCTGACACGTTCTAGGCCGTCACCAGAGCTCACGCATCTCCTCTGTCTCGTATCCCTAATGCCGGTTGGGGAGCAGGCTATTCGAGGTTGATCTGGGCTTTTCGTCAGGAATACCGAGGCAACGTCACTCTTGAACTTCCAAAATTGCATGAGACCCTAGGTAGCTCCGTCGTCGACCTCAAACCATTGACATGGGCGGCAACTAATCCTTTTGTCCTCCTAGGCCCTCTTATCCGAATTGGCCCCAATGAGCTGTCGTTCTACTCCATCGACATCTATGATACAGTCCATAAAGTCAACGGCGGATTCGTAAAGGATCCCCGAAACTATGGCGAATTCGTCCAAGATGAACACCCCGCACTCTTCTCTATCACGTTCGTAATAACCCTCCAGAAGTAAACGTAGGGTTTCTTTGCTGATAAGTCACAGAGATATTCAAGAGCATGCCAAGAGGCGGAGAATCCTTGGCCAACTCTTCAGCCGCAGTAATATCGAGAAGCTTGAAGGATTGATGCTTCACCACATTGAAGAATTCATCTCGGCAGTTGGAAAAAGAAGTACCTCTTTTGATGTAGGCCCTGCCTGCCGCGCCCTTGAGGCAGATATCATATGTGAGACCCAGGGTATGACCCAGCTCTACGTTCACTAGCTAACTTCTCAAGCGGAGTTTTCATTCGGCGAAGCCTTATCAGCCGTCTCTGCCTGGTCTAAAGGTGAAGAAGTTGCTCTTGTATCGAAGAACGATGAAAAAGCGACCTTTTTGCCTCTGTTGTTGTTGTTGTTGTTGTTGTTGTATTTAACGCCGTGGCGGCCGGGCTAGAGCCCTTACCGCAGACCTCCCGAAGGGTATATGGCGTGGAGGGCCGTGAGCCAAGGCTACCTACTCTACAGTACGTCGTCTCTTTACATCGTCCTCCAAATCATGCCTTGTGGCCACTACGCGTTCTGTCTGTCCCCGGTTCCCGCTGGTGCCCCAGTTTCATTCTTTCCCAAATCGTCCCTTGGAATCGGGAGGTTCTTTGTAGTCCGCACTCACATCTACCTAGGTGTGGATGCTGCTACCGCAGACAGATCTTCTGGAAGAAGTCCGTCACGCGGAGAAAGGCCTCGAAGCCTCGTGGGTCGGTGATTAATCTCTTGAAGTAGGCCTCGAGAGATCCCATAGGACCTATGGGCTCGGGCATACTGCGAGAGTGGAGGGTCGGCCACCGTTGCCTCCTCGCCAGCGTTAGTCGACAGTAGACCAGGTGGTCCACGTCTTTCGCCTCTCCACAAGAGCACATCATTAGAGCGTCGTCGTGGTTGAAACGTCGGTGATATTGCTCGAAGTCCCCGTGACCCGATCGTGCCGCCAGCAGGTGATGTAACGTAGCCCGCGGCAAGGCCAGTTCAGGAGGGCTGGACAGAGCTGCCTCAAGCCCCAAGTCCGCGTACCGCGGCCTTCGCTCTTTATACCACCATCTCCTGTGCTGGCTTTGTAATTTTTCCCTTGCAAGCCGCTTGATGCCCGCTAGTGTTGCCATTTGACCCATCCGCGCCGGCAGTGTCGTTCCTTCTTTGGCCAGCCGGTCCGCGGCCTCGTTTCCTTCGATGCCCTGGTGTCCCGGGGACCAGTGCGTCCGTATATCAAATATCCTGGCCGCTTCTTGGATTTCGAGGAACGCGTCTTGTGACGAGTCCGGCGCCTTGCCGCGGATGCCTTGTATAACGCTGGTGTTGTCGATACATATGTGGATTGGATGACCGCGATTGGTGAGCAGAGCCCTTCTGAGGCCGGTTCGCGCCCCTTCGACCTCGGCGTCGAACACTTCTGCTAGTCCGAGTCGGCCGCACCCTTGCGCTATGCGTTTGGAGTCTCGGTAGATGACGAAGCCGTACCCCACGGCTCCGTTCGTCGCCCTGGAGCCGTCCGAGAAGACGATCATATGGCTTTCCGGTACTGTCTTTAGCCAGCGCTCGAAAGCTTTCGCAGCCTCTTCTTTGCATTGAACTACTATCTGATCCTGTGAGCTTGGCAGGTACTGTGATTGGAGGAACGTTGGTCTTCCGCATCTTGGCAGAAGTTCAGCCGTCCGTTGTAGTCTCGTCTGTTGCTGTCCCTGCTGGGAGAGCCGCGCGACTAGCGGGTGTCGGCGATCAATCCTCTGTAGTCGGACTGCGGCCCGTAAACGGACGCCTTCTAAGGCGACTTTGGCTGACGGTAAGCCGGCGTCTCGGAGGAGGCTACTGGTTGGCGTTGTCCTCCAGACAGGTAGAACGATCCTTGCTGCCGCTGTAATGACGCTGTCGATCTTCTGCACGAGCCCCTTCTGGCCTGTGTTGACGGGTCTTCCTTGGAAAGGCGGACTCGTGTCTGTCTCCGCTTGGCGTCTCGAAGCCGGCTTCGTGATACCTGCGTACCATGTTTCGGCGCCGAAGAGCGCGATCGGCAGTACGTAGGAGACGACGGCTTTTCGCACGGCGGCCGCTGGCAGTCCTCTCTTTGTGTTTGTAAGCTGCCTCAGGTGTTGAGCTGCCTTCTTTGCCGCAGCTACTCTTGTGTCGACGTGGTGCCGGAAGGACAGTCTCTTGTCGAACCAGACACCCAGCCAGCGTACAGGATTTGTCGAGGCCTTGACCACCAAATCCCCCGCCCTGACCTCTGGCAGCTCCGCTGGCTGGCTGTGCTTCCTAGTAAAGTGGATGACCTCGCACTTGCTCGGGTCGAAGGAGACCTTGTTCTCCGAGCCCCATCTGAGAATGCCGGCTGCGCTTCGGTTGAGTATTGCGACGTTGCTCTCCAGGGAGGGGCTGATGGCCAGAGTGGCGATGTCGTCCGCGTACCCGAATCGCGCGTCCGGGTCGTCTTCAAGGATCTCCGCGATGTAGAGCAGAAAGACGATGGGAGATAGTGGCGACCCCTGAGGCAGCCCGCATGACAGAGGAAAGTATTCCGTCGTGCTTTCTTCCAGTCGGACTCTGGCGATGCGGTTGCAGCAGAAGCTGAAGATGAGTCTAATCAAGCCGTGTGGCCATCCCTGCTGACGCAGTCTAATGACGAGCCGGTTCCGAAGGACGGAGTCGAACGCCCCTTTTACGTCCATAGTCAGAAGCGTCGCCGTGAGCCCTTTTAGGAGGGCCGTTTCGATATCGTGGGCGAGGCAGGTCGTCAGATCGACGGCTGACCTGCCTTGTAGAGCTCCGATCTGTTGCGGACTGACGATGCGCTCGACAATCGCCAGAGAAGCCATCCTTCTGGCTATTAGTCTCTCGAGTCCTTTGCCCAAGCACGAGAGGAGCGCGATCGGCCGCCAGGACCCGGGCTTGGAGGCATCCCTGCCGGCCTTCTGGATCATGACCACCTCAGCTCTGCGGAAAGGCAGAGGAAAGTGGCCGGCCCGCATACAGGACTGGAATAGCTGCCTGACCGGCTCCGAGATGACGCCCCAGCAGGCCTGGAGGAGGCGCGTGGTGATCCCGTCCACACCAGGGGTCGTTGTCTTTGTTAAGGTGGCCGTCTTCACTTCTTCTCCGCTAACATTGTCCTGCCAAGTAATCGCTCGCCTTGGGACGACGGGTACGTCAAACGGATTACCCGGTGCGTCATCTTCCGCACTAAACCTGTCGAGAAGGGCTTCCCGAAGCGCTTGGGCCTTTTCGTCAGTATCCTCGATCGTCTGGTTGTCCACAACCAATGGGGGTGCTCTGGTCAGTGGGCTCGCCTTCCGCCAACCCATGATCTGGTACAGGTCCCGGTCTGAAGCGACTCCATCGATCTTTCCGGCCCAGTATGCTCGCTTAGCCTTCCTCACCGTGCTCAGGAACGCCTTTCGTTTCTCCATTAGATAAAGGTGCGCATCTTGCTCCGTCTCCCAGGCTTGTTGGTTGCGGGCAGCACGGTATGCTCTGTGGGCCTCTGCGCATTCCTCCGTCCACCAAGCCGCGCCTTTACCATGTTTTCCTCTCTTCTTGCCGACCGCCTCAATGGCTCGGGAGAAGAGCTCGACGATGTGACTTGCCTGCCCGTCCAGGTCTTCCGGAGTAGGTTGATCCCCCAGATTGGGCATCGCAGCTAGCCCCCCTTCGATCAGGTCTCTCAGCCGAGGCAGCGCCGAGTCGGGCACTGACAGTGGCCGTGGCTGCGGGTGGCCCTCTCCCTGTGACACTGGGCGTTTGAATAGTGGTATGACGGCCACGATGGCCTCGTGGTCAGCTCCCGGGTGTAGCTGTGGGCTGACCTGCGCGTGCGCAAAAGGGATATTAGAGAAAGCCAGGTCCAGGACATGTCCGCAATCCTGGGTTGCCACCCCAACTTCGCTGATAAGAGAGAGATTGTGGCCGTCTGCCCAGCCTGCAATGTCATCTCCCCGGTTCCCGTTCCTCGTCCCGGGCTCCCAAGAGTAGTGATGCGCGTTGAAGTCACCCGCGATCAAAGCTCGCTCCGGGGGTTTGAGTTCTAGCAGTATCCCTGTTGTGCGGCTGTGGGGGTCGCGGGGTTGTCTGTACACGTTGACGATAGTCGTCGTTTTGTCGACCACCAGCCACAGTACGTCTCTCGTGTGGACAGGCCTCTGCTGCTCCACCGTCATCCCTATCCCTTTGCGTGTGTAGGTCAATACTCTTGGTCTGGTTCCTTCGCTGTCCCAGAAGTCGACCGGGACGAAAGAGTCGAAACCCGGGTGCGTGTTCAGTTGCACGTTTCCGTCCTTCCAGCCCGTCCAGGGTTCCTGGACGAGGACCACATCTATCTGAGCCTCCCAGCAGAGCTGCAGGAAAGCCGTGTGCGCCGGGGAGATCTTTCCGACGTTGCCCTGCGCAACGCGTAGCATCCGTGGGGTCGCCGCTCTCGGCTTACGTCTCCGAGTCGAGTTCGAGGTGGGTGTAGGCATTCGCGACGTTGTAGTTTGGCTTCTGTGCTGCCCGTTGGCTCCTGCTTGGCATGGGTAGCACGGGACGGTCGATGGAGGTGTTGTCGGGGGAGTCTTCGCCTTCGCCTTCGTCCGCCTCGTCTTCATCCATGCTGCTGCTGTCAGTGCTTCCGTCACCGAGGCAAACGATCGAGCTTGCGGAGGGCGTTCTCGTGCGCGCGCGCTTGGCGCCGGGTTGCTGGTTCTGGCTGGTGGAGGTAGGGACGCCTGCCGCCTCCTGGCTACTGTCGGATCGAGTAGCCTTGTACAGAGTGTCCGATGCTTTCTGGCCGGCCTTCCGGATCCGAGCCCGCTCCTTTCGACCGGGAAGGGAGACGACGCCGTTTACGACCGAGGGCCTCGCTGGGCAGTCTGTGTGGCCGGCTTGGAAGGGGCCGCAGCAGTTGGGACACTGGGGCCTGGCCATGCAAGGTCCCGTTTCGTGTGAGTCGGAAGGTCTTCCGCAGTTGCTGCAAGTCGGTCGTCGTCCGCAGAACCGGTTGGCGTGGTAGCCCTGGCAGCCGGGGTCATGTCGGATGAGCGTCCTTCGTTTTTTGATGGGCAGAGATCTGCCGCTTTGGTTGAAGAGCCTGAAGGGCGTGACCTCTGATGTGAATGATATGAGCCAAGATATTTCGTTCGTGACTGGGTTGGGCCCAAGGCGGGACGGTCGAGCAAGGACAGGCTTCTGTCCTGTCTGTGCGAAGACCTCATCTTCAACGAGTGTGGCTGGGTCCAGGACGTCCCCGCCAATGCTGTGTAG